GTCCACCTGGATGCTGCGCGTGGCGAACTCCACGCCGATGGTGCTCTTGCTCTCCAGGTTGAACTCGTTGCGCGTGAAGCGCGACAGCAGATTACTCTTTCCCACGCCAGAGTCTCCAATCAGCACCACTGGGAAGAGGATGGCACACGAGGAAAGGTGAGGGCTTAGAGCAGAGCAGTGGAACCTACAGTCTGAGGGCCGGATATAGCCCGCGACTATTTCATACAGCTTTCAGCCACATAACCCGTAGTGGAACCAGTGAGGGCTTAGAGAAAACAGAATCCTCTCAATAGAACTGAGGGGGGTTTAAAGAGAAACTTGACCACGTACCGAAACCAGTGAGGTCTTAAGAGAGATGCAGAACACTATAATGGTACTGGTAAGAGTTTAGATGAACACTGGTGAGGGCTCAGAGGAACACAAAACCATACGTGAACTCTGGTGCGGATTTAGAGACACATCCAACACTTAATTCGGACCGGAGATGTTGGAGTGGTACAGAGCCATATAAGGACACTGTTGATGGTTATGAAATATACAGAGCTCAGAGCCAACGGCTATTCAAAATAGTACACAGCCAAAAACTGGGTGCAGTGAGGGCTTAAGGGAAGGTAAAACATAAATGTCAAGAGTGAGGAAACAGGCACACCCAAACCCCAGAACAAGGGATTTCTTTAGACACTCGCACAATGCAGCACCAGAATTGTGAGCACTTAAGAGACAAAACCATGAAGTAACATCCGTGAGGGTTTACCGAGCCACAAAAACCCAAAATAAGGTTGAGAAAAGCATCAGAAAGACATAACCATATGATATAGAACCAAAAACTTGACTGCTTCTTTTATCACATGGCACGTGAAATAGCAATTTGCCTTGGAAATGCACACAATGCATACAAACTTTCCTTTAAATAATACATTACATACAACCTGCTTTTAAATACATAATGACTTTCAATTGTGCAAGGTATTGGTATGGCTCCAGGTGTTACAGAATTTGCTTTGGGTGTGCCTTCTGTACAGTACAGACATGCCCAGGACCGGTCATGATCACATTCTCCATTGGTGCTAGCCTTTGCCGGGAATCAAACCCAGGTGGCTGGCTTCATAACGCAGCAAGCTGACCACCGTGCCACCCAGCACTCTTTGTGCCATTTCATTGTGTGGTAAAAGCTGTCCATCTTTCAATTACTCAGGGGGATGCCAATCCTGGGCTGTCTGCCTGTGGTTGGCGATGCCAGCCAATGCCATACGCGCTCGCGAGCCTGACAGATGTAATACGACATTGCATCAATCAGAGGTTGTGAAAGAATCGCAAAACACAATGCACTGAGCAACACGTCCAACCCCTCACTAACGGAGCACAAAAGTTAAACATTCAACGCATTCGTCAATAACACCATGTGGCCGTAAAAATAAAATGTATACAATAGGCGACGTTTCAGGCAATAGCCCTCCCTCACAAGAGGCCACAGATATGAAACTATTTAACCATTTTTATTTAACCAGGAAAGGCCCACTGAGCTATATAACTCTTTGTCAGAAGCGACCTGGCCACAAATGTTAGCTCAACAAAGTGGCTTATTACATGGAAATTTACAGCAGTCAAAATATTCTAAACGCATGTTTCTAAATGGGAAAAACCGGAGGACTCGGAGAAAAATCCACGCATCTACAGGGAGAACACGCACACTCCAAATATACATGTGTCAGGGTTGGGATTGAACCCACGACCTCCTGTATATCAGTCGAGGTAGTTAGCATCTCGCAACCATGGCACCCATCTTGCCACCGATATAGAGACTACCTCCGTCTTCGTGTGCTGTGAAGGGCTATTGTCCAATGCGTTACATATTATACAAAGTACTTATTTGAAGGGCAAAGTGTTATTGACAAATGTGTAGGATTTTTTGTTGTTTATGTTTGTGCAGTGTCACCAATACAGAACTTAATAATCATGTTTTGTTTTATGTTTGATTTATAATAAAATTCTAATTGCACTATCGCCGACATGCTGCCACTAGGCGAAGACATTTGAATTTAGAACAATCAGGACAACCTCTTATCGGGTAATTCACCACCCGGAGGCACGGAATGACCCTGTAAAATGCCCAAAATAACTGCATTTTAAGTGCAGAGGATGCCATCTGAATTCCAAGCAGGTACCACCACTAGACTCTTCAAGGTCTCTCATTAAAAAGAGATGTCCATCTCAACTGTGCTCTCACGTGGATAAATACACATCAAAGTCAGTGTCGCCACAATTAATATAGCAATGGGGCAGCTCTGTTGGCAGCGTTGGGCAAGCGCTTGAAGTTCCACATGCCCTTGGCAGGTACCAGGCTCTTTGTATGATCACCACTATTAACTCGCTTGCTGCAGTGGTTACGGATTTTATCAACCTCTGAAACGGGATGAAATAGTGAGTGTATGCTCACTGCTTTTTAAAGTCAGTGATTAAATCAGCTTGTTTGCAGGTGTTGCATGAATAGTTGTATCGTGAGACCACGCAACGTGGCAATTGTTTGGAAGGCCTTTGTCCAGCAAAGGGCAGATCATATACGATGATGTTCTATAGCAGAAAAATATGTTCCTATTTAAATAATACCCTTCATTTACTCATGATAGCCCGAGCCCCAACACTCTCGTTCAATAGGGTCCTCCTGCCATAGGATAATTGAGTATTTGGTACACGTGAGAACCCGTGCCTGTGAACAGCTGTTAGCTCTATTGCAGACTTGAGACCTTAGTCACACTTACATAGGAAAGAGATTTGCATTAAAACAAACATTTATACAACTAATAGAAAGTGAAACACGGAGTAGAGGCATTTCATTGACTTTGTGAAAGTGGGCTTGGCCAGGGGACACGTCGCGAGAAGAGACGATGGGTGGTGCAGGCAGCCAACAACAGGGGGAATACGCCCAAAAGGACACTACACTGCATAGATGGAGCAATGAAATATGCTGGTGTGCAGACGCTAGATGGATTGTTGCTTTGCATGACCGTGAGACATGGAGACGGCTTGAGATAGAATTCATCCAGCAGTGGACTGACTATGGGATGGTTCAAAGGTCAAAGTGTACTGTCCCTGCTTAAATCAGTGAGTGGTAAAAATGTATATTGCAGGGGCGAGTTCTTCCAAAGAACATTCGTTGACCACGACTTATCAACCCCAGAAAAACAAGCTGCTGCGATCAACATCACCTATTTGTGTAGTCACAGCTGTGTGATATTCTGTATTGTCACTGGGGGGGGGGGGGGGGGGGGTGAGTTACACCGGAAACAAACATTGGCCATGGTGCGCTAGTGATTTTAAAACCATTTCCTTGTCACATAAACACGGTTACACAAAAATACACGCGGTAAAGTTAAAGGAAAATGAAGCAGATTCGATTACGACCCGTGCTTTTCCCACAGAGACGGCTGGAAACCGGACAATCCTCGGGATCTTTAACGTCCATTTTGCAGGAAGCTTTGGAGAATTAACCCCTTACCGACGTGACATGAAGCTGTGGTCGCAATAATTGGGCAACCCTGACCCAGGCCCCTAGCCTCTTAATCCTAGATCCCAGAATCGCAGGCCACACCAAGTCCCCGACTGCTCGGATGCTGCTTTGTTTTGCAGACCCACAAAATAAAGACTTCCCTTGGCCTGGAGGACCTTGGTCCTTGGTGACCCCAGGATAGGGGGCCAATCTTCAGCCCCAAAGATCCCAAACCCCAGGAATTCGGCCTAAGAAACCCGGCTACTGTGCCCCTCTTTTCAAGGCGCATCACAGCCCTGCACCACTCCCCTTGGCTCTCATCACCACCCCCCATCTTTCATTGATCCCTTTAATATTTTATGGACGCCCCGTGTCTCTTTCCTTGATACTCTCTCGTCAAAACCCCCCTCTCTCTATCTTACCTCCCCTTCAATATCACAAGGGATCGCAGCCTCTTAAAAAGTCCCTTATTGTGGGTAACTCGAGCCCTCGCTGGAACCCAGTCTCGCAGAGAGCCTTGCCTTTCCTGGGTGCCCACTCGCCCAACAACAACGCCCCTCACTCTAATAGGCAGCCATCTGCTTCGTACGAAACACATTCTTCGGAGAGACCCCGATCCTAGGCACCGAGTCCCTCTCTTCAGAACCCCACCTTCTCTCGTGGAGACCCCCAACACCCTCACATCAGCACCAAGGGCCCGCACCTCCAAAGCCAATCCAGTCCTAGGCCCCCATAAATTTTCTTCCACGGTGGTCCCCGTCACCAGTGTCACTCTACCGCTGCTGCACCGAGCTCCCCGCGTCCTCTGCCACGCTGGCTCCCCAGTAACCCCCTCCGCGCCTCTCGCTATCCCCTTCGCCTGGGCGATCCCCGCACCTTTAAAGAGGTAGTCGTACTCGTCGTCCCTGGCTCCCATCTTGGCCGTCATGAGGCGGTGGTGCCGCAGTGTCCGTGACTGCTGCTGCGCGACTGCCCAGCCCCGCTGGTGGGCGTGGCCACGGGGGAGGGGGCGGAGGCGAATGAGGAAGAGGAGGGGCTCGTTAAACGTAGTGGGCGGGGCTTGTATGAATTGTGGGCGTGTTCGTCAGAGAAGGGCGGAGATAGCGAAGGAGAGGGGGCGTGCCAGTGGTCAAGAGGGCGTGGTCAGTTAAAAGTAGGCGGGGTCAGACGAGGAAACCAAAACACCACGGGACCCCCCGAGAGCGCTTAGCTCCGCCTCCAGGCCGCGCCCGACGTGACGTCACGGCCCCTCGTCGTCCGCCGAGAGAGGCGCCCGCCAATGGCGCGAGACGAGGACGGTGGCGCGCGCTGAGTGGCGGGAAAGGTGAGGGGGGGCCAGGGCGGGGGGCTGCTGTGAAGCCACGCCTACCATGATGACGTCAGCCTCCCCCCCCCGCGCATATAGTTACCGTGCCTCCCCCGCCCCACGTGCCCATTGTGCGTCACGTTCACTTCCGGTCCACGCCCTGAGTGACGTCAGACTGCAGCTTTTACATTCGAGATCAGGCGTCGTGCGAGATTGGCTCAGTTGCCCGAAACGTCGCCTCATGTACATTCGTTCCCCTTTCATGTCACGCGCACTACAGTGCTATTGACGAACCCGTTGAGGTTTGTTGTTGTTGTAAAGAGCGTTCGTAGCTTTCAAAGTACAAGCGCGACTGGGCGATGTGTCCACTTAAATACAAATCAACGGCGGTGCGATTCGTCCACCCACCGGCCTCCTGGCTTTCCCGATCAAGATTATCTCCAGATGTGGTTACATATCGATCGTGGGGAGCGCTGTGTCACGCTGACATGCCGCCACATAGCTACTGTCTGTGGGAACAGCATGGAGAGAGACCCTTTCACTGCTCTGAGTGGTGAAATGGCACATTGTCATGGCTCGGGCAAGTCCATCCATTTGGACAACCCACTTGATTTATGCCACTAAGTCAAGGCCGTAGCCATGGAGTCAACATTGGGGGGGGGGGGGGCAAATATTCCAGGGGGTCCCACCCCAAAAAAATATCTAAATTTGAAAACTCATTTCCTGCCTAAAATATTAAAAAATTCACTAACTTGGGATAGACTTTTTTATTTATTTTTTACAATAACTGTCTAATAGTGTATTGTATTACATTGCTCTGTTTTTTTACCTTTTCTTGTTTCATTGTATGTAATGGCAGAGATTAGGGATTTTTAACGTAGCAGGACCCTCCTGAAAAATGAGTCCAAAGACTCAGTGTGGCACTGCTGGATAGACAAAATAAGTAAACGCTCAATCGTATCACCGTGTTACACGTGTGTGTGAGTAGGGGGCGGGGGGAACCCCTCTCAACGCGTCAAGTGGTTCCGGTGCCGTTGTTTCCACCCGGACCGAGTTAAGGCGCGACACGAGCGGAAGCACGTGCGCGCGGGGCCGTGTTTACACGTGCGTCGAGCTGGAACCCGCGCACTGACAGGCTCCGTGCGTTCCGACTGCACCGTATGTTGAACTTCTTTCGCGCCGTACCTAGCCAAGCGTGCTAATCAGAGAACAACAACACAGCCATCAACAACACAGCCATCAACAACACAGCCATCAACAACACAGCACTTAACGTAGCCATTAACACGCACATCGAACACCGCGGTACAGTGTTGTTGCACAGCACATCCTACATGAGCGCGGCGCAGTCGTTGACACGGTCACCGACTTCGTGCTTGGACGCGGCGGGCCTCCACAGAACTCACGCGGCATTGCAGAACGAGCCGCGGTGTTAGAAGGGATCTTTCGGGCTCGCAATTGACATGCGGCGGCTGCAGAGCGGACTACGGGTCGTGACCCGAACGACCTGAAGCCGCTGGCACCTGATACCGTTACAACTCTTTAGACCTTGGGAAATGAGAATTTGAAACCTCAGATCTTGCATGTTGAGAACTCTGTATCAAAGACCCATGAACATGACGATCTCTGGGGCCGTCCATAAATGACGCCACGCGATTTTGGACGATTTTTGACCCCCTCCCGTCACGGCGTCAAAGTCAGACCCCCCCTCAAATATGACGTCACAGCTCTTCCCCCCCCCCCCCCCCAAGAAAAATAAAACATGCTTCACATCGCTTTAAACTATTGTCATTGTAGTGCGTATTTAATGTGGCGCTGCACTCTGATATAGTAGAAAACATTAAACAGTCTAAGTAGAACGTTTTGGCTATATTTAAAGTTGCGCATTTTGATGTGACGTCACATTTCTCAAACCCCCCCCCCCTCGTCACAAATGTCTGACCCCCCCACCCCAGGTGCGTGACGTCATTTATGGACGGCCCCGATGTATGACCTGGAACCGTGGCACCTGTGACCTCTGCTGCCTTGACACACTGGGGTCTGAGACCTTAGAACCTGAAGCCTCGGTGGGACCTGAGAACCTCAGACTTGGGCACGAGGAGAGACTATGCGGATCCTCACAGCCGCTCGGTCCGCGGGGCCCCGGGCCGCGTGGCTACTCCCCGCCGTGTCGCGCCGGCGGCTGGGAGCTCCCGGGCTCCTCACCGCTCCGTGCCGGCGCTGGGCGCGCTCACGGGCCGAGCGCACGATCGAGGCCACGATCGAGGCGGCGGAGGAGAAGAGCGAGCGGGACGAGACGCGGATGAACCCTCTCAACATCCAGATGCTGAGCAGGAATCTCCACGAGCAGATCTTCAAAGGCGTAGAGGTGCGTCCGTGCGATGCTGCTGGACTGGCAGCTGATGTAAAACTTAAGATGGTGAGGTGAACATCCAGACACCAGAACAACGAACAACACAAATATAAACGGGTCGGTGATGGGGCCATTACTAGTGGCTGATTGGCTTTGGTTAGGGTTAAGGTAGAGGCTAGTACTCGTGGTTGGCTAGTTATGGGAACAGCTATTACTAGTGGTTGATTGATTATGGTCAGTGTGAGATTTTTTTACTGTATTTATGTACTCGGGAAACCTCAATACACCTACAAAGTTAGGTATTATCCCCCCATATGCATGGTGTTTTCTCCAGGCACTTGTTTTCCCACGTTTGAAAAGCAAACGAACGAGGATTTGGCCAAATATATTGCCAGCTGAACCTTTTATAAACATAATCATGTGCAACTAAGACTGTTTAGGTAACTATTGGCATATTCTTAATGCACAAATACAACTTGCCAGGTTCATAATCACAACTGTCATACCACATATACATAGGCCAACATTTCAGGATAGATAATGGAAGAAAGACTTTAAAGTGCACAAATAAGCATGGAGATGTGCATGCTTGGAACTGCACTGAGACACGGATTAGAGGTCACATTCAAGCCAGAGACATCTACAGTTATTGACCACGTGCGGTTTCCTGTCCACCGACAGCACAGCCACCCCGAAGAGAGTGTGCAGCTCAGCAAGGCGCACCTAACCCAGCACGGTCTGTGGGGCCGTGACAGCGCCCTGCTGAAGGACGTCCACCTCCGCCTGCCTCCTCTGCTGGGCGACTCGGTGGACGGTCACTTCCGCGCCCTGGCCACGCGGCAGAGCCTGGGCTACGTGCGCGCGGCGTGCGGCCTCGTGGCGTGCTCGGCTCTGCCGGCTCTGCCGCGCGAGTGGCGCTACGAGGCCGGGTGGACGCGGTACGGCCCCGAAGGGCACGTCGAGGCCGTGCCCTTTCCCGACGAGCCGGGCCTCGTGTTCGACGTGGAGGTGTGCGTGACCGAGGGCCACTGCCCCACGCTGGCCGTCGCCTGTTCCCCCACCGCTTGGTTAGTGACGTGCCCAATGTGGAGGAGAGCGAGCGAGAGTGGAGCGACGTGTTGGTTAGGGGAAGACTCGGCGACACCTGTGCAACCATCACACCTATATGACCACAGCTGGGAAACCAAACCTGTACAACCACACCTCTGCCGCATCCACGCTTGTGCACCGCACCTGTGACACCACACCTGTACATCCGCACACAGGTACTCCTGGTGCAGCCGAAGGCTGGTGGAGCGCCGCTTCTCGTGGCCCCAGCAGCTCTCCCTGCAGGACCTCATCCCGATGGAGTCGGGCAGCGGAAGCCGCTCCTCTGCTTCCTCCTCGTCCACATCGTCGTCGTCCTCATCGCAAGGGGACTCAATCGAGCGACTCGTGGTGGGACACAACGTCAGCTTCGATCGCGCGCACGTGCGGGAGCAGTACCAGCTCGCGGTACGTGCCGTGGCGCCGTCGTGGAAGCCTCTCTACAGCCGCTTTTACTGCGTGTACGTGGGTGTGCTTAAATGCACATTTGTGGCAAATCGAATAAATGGGAGACACGTGCAGGGTAGAGGGCAGGTCAGCAAGATAGCCATTGGGAGTGGCACCCAGAGGCCATGGACCAAGAGGAAGACCTGAAGGCAACTGGTGACGATCATTCTGAAAGAGCGGTCATCAAAGGACGCGTCATCTGTGTAAGACCTAATTTCAGGATGGAATTGGAGGAGGGGGTGAGAAACCGCAGGATCGAGTAGAAGGCAGGAAGCATTGACTTCAAGGGCGTGGTGGTGGTGCTGGCATCAGTGGCATCGGGCACGATGACCGTTTATCAATTTAATTATTCGATATATATCACCTCGTCTCCGCCCACCGCTCCCCGGCAGACGACCCGGCTGCGGTTCCTCGACACCATGAGCCTGCACATGGCCATCTCGGGGCTCACGGGCTTCCAGCGCAGCCTGTGGATGGCGAGCCGGCACGGCAAGCGGCGCGGGTTGCAGGAGGTGCAGGAGCACATGGCGCGCACGCGGCAGAAGTTCGACGGCCCCGCGGTACGAAGCGGCGTTGGTCGCCTGCGGGTGGCGGCAGCACCGGGGTCATCATCACGTGAACGTGAATGCGCGCCACAGAAATGCATGCGGACGCACACACACACACAGAAAACACACACACAGAAAACACACACACAGAAAACACAAACATCCACCCCCCCCCGCCCAAAGCTGTTTGGGCAAGTGCTGTTAGCGAGTAGCACCTATGAAGGTCAGCATGGCGACACGAGGGGGTGGGCGGCCAGCCCCACGCTCAGTCGCCTTTGTCTCCCCAGTGCTGATGGTTACTCACCACACCAGTCATAATTTAAGGTTGAATCGACCAAGCGGAGGCCCATGAGTGGTTCAGATTTTCATCACCGATCTTGGACGTGAGCGGGAAGCAAACTCGGATCGCTGGAATCGTAGCGCAGTGAGCTAGCCACTGCACTACTGCTACCGACACACTCATACACTTCAACAAACTTAGAAACACACATAGACTTTGACAAGCACTGTTAGCGAGCACCTGTTAAGCCGCACACGGAAACTCTCAGAGTCTGATCTGACGAGTTTGGGTCATCCACAGGCTCTCGGACTAACGACACTACTGGCTGAACTATACGTTCGAACGTTCGCCCCGTTGTGGATAAACTGTGTTTACACCCGATGGCCTCTTGGTTGAGCGTGCACACCTGTTCACCTGTTGGGCCACATCGTGTGTTGCCACAACAGCACTGGAGGTTTGTAACAATTAACATCGGCTCGGTTGACTGCTCGCTTTTCCGCCTGCGCGATCACTCGCTCGACCGCGGACACGCTCGCCCGCCCGCCCGCCTGCTCCACCTCGCCCTCGCCTGGCGCGAGCAGATGGGCGCGTGGGACTGGGTGGACGTGTCCAGCATCAACAACCTGGTGGACGTGCACGGCCTCTACGTGGGGGGCCCGGCGCTGGAGAAGGAGGAGCGCGACGTCTTCGTCAAGGGCAGCATGGAGGACGTGCGCGGCAGCTTCCAGGTGAGCGCGGCAATGGAGGCGAGCGGCCGGGGCGAGGGGCGCTCGCAGACTGCGCTGCCGTCACGATGCAGTTTGGTTTTAAACAGTCTATAAATGTGGATTTTTGGCTGTTGTCTGCCTATGGCGCCTCGCTTCTAAATTAATGTTTCTCAATGGCATGTATCGTTGCATTTCTTCATCGATTCGAATTGTTTTACATGCGCTCGTGCGCAGGAGTGAGGTGGATTGCTGCATCGTGAGATCTTAATGGCGTAGCGACGTGGGGTAGCCTTCATCCAGCAGTGGATAGAACATGGATGATGATGTATACGATATGGGAATACCTTATTTAGGGTAATAGAGCGAATACAACTGTACAAACGAGACAAATGAACGAGCAACACCTCAAACGATGTGAAAAAAATGCATTGAATCAAACCAAAAATTTTAATTGTGCAAAATCATTCATGATAGTGGGGGGAACGAATGTTTAAATATGTATTATACAATTGTACAAGCATCCATTCGATATTACAAATGAACTCAACACATTCATCAGTAACACTGTGTGGCCCTAACAAGAAACAATAAAAAACAGGCGACATTTCGGTCAATGGCCCCTCTTCCATAACGCAATGGCTTTGATTATGCCGATCGTTTATGTCGTGTGGCGCCGCGGCAGGAGCTGATGTCGTACTGCGCGCGGGACGTGAAAGCCACGCACGAGGTGTTCTGCCAGCAGCTGCCGCTCTTCATGAAGAGGTGAGCACTCTTCGCGCGCGACTCCCGTGTGACCCCGCCGAGCGTTGAGCCCTTGCTCCGACTACCGGGGCTCTTCCCGTCCCCCTCTGCACAACAACAACATCAATGGCCGCCTTGTGATTCCCTCTCATGAGCGTTGGCCTCTCTTGGGCTGTGCTCAAGTGTAACTTGCATCGCATCTGCCTGTGAATGGTTTTCAGTGTTGAATTTGTTGAGGACAGAGATTGACAATTTTGGGTTTGTCCATTCGAGTTGATTTTCATTTTGGAATCCTTCACGTTCATTTTCCAGATTCTCTCTTTTAAAAAATCAGTATATTCATGTCTTTGCTGGCTGACAATTCTAATAGATACTTACACCTTTCTCATTCGTGACTCTTCTGCCAACTTTACCAATCGACCGATCATCTCTGAACCTTTGTACCTACGTTGGCATTAAAGTCACAATACAGGGTTGGAATGTGCTTACCTCACATTTAGAAGAATTCCCCCATCCATATCTTCTACTCCTTCACCATTGTGGCTCGTCACGGAGCATGTCTATGAGTTGTCTGTAACCCGCAGGGGTTCCAGAGCCGTCACGTACGCTGGGAATTTCTCTCCGATGTACTCTTGATAACTAAAAGCCGTACGTTTGATTCCCGGAGAGACTTGAGATAAAAAACATATTTTACCACTTTCCAGAAAGGTGGAATTCTTTTTCTCTCTCGCTTGACTGAAGGTCCCTACAATGTCCCCTGTGCCAACAACGGCAGGTGCCCCCACCCGGTGACGCTGGCCGGCATGCTGGAGATGGGTCAGTGCTACCTGCCCGTGAACCACAACTGGGAGCGCTACGTGAGCGAGTCGCACGACACCTACCAGGAGCTGCAGCGCGAGATGAAGCAGTCGCTCATGAGTCTGGCCAACGAGGCGTGCGGCCTGCTGCAGGGCGAGAGGTGGGGCGCGTTGCCGAGTTTTTTCGAACACGAGGAGATTAAGAGCCGGGCAGCTGCCTGATGACTCCGATAACTGATCACTCCAACGAGTATCGGTTCGATTGTCTGACTGTTTGGACATTGTGTAAATAGTTGGTGGGAGGGTGGTGTGGGAAGAAGTGTAACCTCTGTTCCCACGTGTGCCGCTGAATGGGATGTGGCTTGGTGATTTCGATGGTGTTGTCCGTGCCACGCTGGGCGTGGCTCCTAGGGGTTTCCTGCCTTCGGGAGGCAGGATGTAGGGGCGGCCACCAATATTAAAGGGGCCTGAGTAATAGATCCACATGAAGGTGGTCGAATACAATTTCTAGTCTGTTAACCAATTGACTAATTGTCCCAGCTCTAATAGCAAATAATGCTAGGCTGATAAGGAATTTGTGGTCATCCCCAAGGTACAAAGACGACCCGTGGTTCTGGGACCAGGACTGGTCGACACAGGAGTTCAAACTGAAGAAGGTGGCGGCTGGGAAGAAAAAAGATAAAACAGGCAAAGCTGCTGCGAAGAAAAGCGCGCAGGACCCTGCCGCCGGTGTCGATGCCGCCGCTGCTGCCACCGCTGCCGCCACCACGTCTGCGTCCGCGTGCGACGACGATGAAGGTGAGAGGCTCGGGGCTCGCTCCACGGGGCTGCTGTTCAGGCAGCACGATGTGAACTTTTCAGAGGGGCGACGGCGTGTTTGAGACGAAGGGATCGATGGTGAAGTATGTATGTTGAACTTCTTTCGCACCATACATAGCCAATTGTGCCAATCGGAGGTGGGGGGGGAGGACAAATGAAACAAAAAAAAGCAGTTCTAAAGAAGTGGGCGTGGGAAGGTCGCCAGGTGTATTACCGAGGCCCCATGGTGGCCGCTCTCTCACATTGTTCCCCTCGCCAGACCCGGGGCCGCCGAGCGAGGAGGAGGAGCAGGCCCCGCCGGCGGGGTCGCTCGCGCTGGAGAGGCTCAAGCAGCGGACGCTGCCGCTGCTCCCCAAGAGGCAGCAGTTCCTCCAAGGCCACCCCGCGTGAGCCCCCTCGTAGATCCGCACCGCTCACCAGCCACCGTACCACCACCGTGTGTAGAAAAGAAGAGTCAATTGTTCGCTCGAATTTTAATCCTAAATCGCTAAAATGTATCTAATCATCACGTGGGTGAACTGTTATACATGTACTACACATACACATCTCTCTGGCAAGAAGCCGGTAGTGAGAGACTTGGTTCATTACTGATAGTGGAACGTCCGCAGGCCGTGTATGAACACGTGTTCACACGCAATTGGCCCACGCCTGTGATCCAGTGCTTCGAAGGCAAGAGTTGGCGGATCGCATCAGCACTGGGTAGATGAAGGTGGCTGGGCACCGCGGTGGCCACACCACTACCTCTTTGTGCGCCGTGCCGGCCTTCTCAAGCACTCGCGGCACTTGACCCAAGAGTCTTCAAGGGTGACACGGACGGGCAATCTTCGTGTTTGTGCGTGCGGTCGGGTCAGGTGGTACCGCAAGCTCTGCCCGCCGCCCAGCGACCCCGAGTGGAGCCCTGGCCCCTCGCTGCTGAGCCTGCAAATGCGCCTCACGCCCAAGCTGCTGCGGCTCAGCTGGGATGGATTCCCGCTGCACCACACGACCCCGCACGGCTGGGGCTACCTGGTGCCCGGGCGAGGTGACCCGGGGGGGGACACGGGGAATGGGGAGGGCGGCGGAGACGGGGCACGGGAAGGAGTGGGCGAGGTGGGCGAGCTGGGCGAGGTGGGCGAGGCGGGCGGGGAAAGCGACGTGGCGGTGGCGTTCCCCAGCAGGTGGGCACGGGGGGGATGCGCCAAAACCTCCCACGAGGCAGCAGAACGCTGAGCCGATTAACCACAGTTAATCTGGGTTCCCAAGCGATGGTCTCAGCCCAGTCGCCAATGACTGCACAGTCACTGAGAGGATTATCAACTGTTAGAGCACAACATTTGATTTAATCAGCGAATCCAAGCATTGTTACAACCCTACTAATGAGACATAAAAGCACGATGTACAGAATAAACGGTTTGAACCGAGCCGTGACCCTGAACCCTAACGAGTGACCCAATTGCGGCAGAAGCTGCACATCAAGGGAAGGATGATGACTCGCAAAAGGGAATTTCTAGACAAATCTACGAATTGCATTGGGTGGGTATCATCTGTTTCCAGGCCGCATGCACGCACGCTCCCGTTCCCAGAGTTTCTCACCGTTTAAGGATTGTGCGGCGGATCGCCGCTCGCCTAACGTCCGTGCCGTGTGGTCGCCCACCCCCTGGGCTCCCCACTCCCGTCCCTCCCCAGGGCCGTCGGGGAGGTGTACCAGCGGCACTGCCGGCGGAAGGGCAAGGAGGCCCCGGCGGCACTGGACTTGGCGCTTGCCGACAAGTTCATGCTGAGGAACAGCGACGTGTGGAAGGAGGTAACGACGACGATGCTCGCGGAGCTCGGACGTGGGGGGGTGGGGCGAGGCGATGGCCAAGCCGGACTCAGATTCCGCGCGTTCCATCTCAGCTGCCGACCCTAATCATACCGGTCTGGGTTTGGGAGAACCTCACCACTTCGGAATGCACCTAGTCCAGCACGCATGTGGTAAACACCGCAAGTGAAAAGTGAACGATAGGGGAGATCAGGAACAGTCTGAATAGTGGCACAGTGGCTCTAACGCACTGCACTACAATCACAGTACCCGAGTTCGATTCCTGCCTGAGTCCATCCAAGACTGTCTCAATCTGAAATGAGCACCTGCTGCGCTGTGTGAACATCAGCTCGAAGGACACAAAGGTGGTCAGCCTCGTTGCTGGCCACAACACCGCAACACGTGCCATACACCACTCGTAATAGGTGCTCGCGAGTGGCACTTGACAGTCTGGCTTAATCCAGCTCCTTCGTCTTTGTTGCTGTGGTTGTGTCTCGTCAGGCGGAGGAGATGTGTCGCCTGGACCTCCTGGAAGGCAACGGTATCGATCCGCCGGCGAAGCCCACCGGCGCCAAACGCAAGAAAGGGGCGGCCAAGAAGGAGGGAAGCTCCACGGTAACGCGCCCATAAAGTACAGGTGCCGCATTTGTGGGACGCTTAACCGGAACACGTGGTGAGCTGGCGACGACGCCTGCTTCTACATGGCCACACCCACTCACTAGCCCCACCCACACAATGGAAGGCCTCCTCGCTGCTGCTCACATTGACCCCGCCCACTTATCTGCCAACCCCGCCCACTTCTCTGCCAACCCCGCCCACGACTGGGGTAGCCCCGCCAACCACTTGGTGTTGTGGGGCCCAACACTACCCATTCGCTGGTTTAGCCAGTATGTTTAGGTCTTCGTTATCATTCAATGATTCAGTCAGTAGAATCAATCGGTCAATCAGTGACCTTTATAACCAGATGACATCCCACACTAAGAGAGAGGTCTCTTTCATAAGGCAGAACTGTGGGCTAACACAAGAAGGCAAGTTTGTGAATCAAATTACAAACTTAAGTCGTCTCCATAAACACGTGCGCACCGCTTGTGCCTGCATCTTGGGGGTTCCAGGTGGGGACGTGCGACGCCGAGCCGGGCGACGTGGGCGAGGCGTGCTATCACTACGGCAACGGACCATTCAACGACGTTAACCTGCCCGGTTGCTGGTTCTTCCGTCTGCCGCACAAGGTGCGCTCGCCTATTCCCTCCGTCGCGTACGAACCGAGGCGCTAACGTTCAGACGAATACCACCGCTTCCGCCCCCACCCCCCACTCTGCCCGCCGTCGTGACAGCCGACCGACGAGAGGCGTTTTGCCGTGGGTCCCGCAGGACGGCAACGACAACAAAGTGGGCAGCCCCCTGGCCAAGGACTTCCTGAGCAAGATGGAGGACGGCACCCTGCAGGCGAGCGGCGGTGGAGCCGACGCCACGAGGGCGCTCGAGATCAACAAAATGATCTCCTTCTGGCGAAACGCTCAGAAACGCATCAGGTGCGGCCGGTGCTGATGTGGCGGCGGTGGCAGCGGCTCAAGATCGCTGCTGCCGCCACCTTCTCACGACGCCCCCAGTTGTGACGTTGCCGTGATCGGGAGCGGTGCGATTTAACCGGGACGCGCGGATGTTTTGTTCCGCAGCTCGCAGAAAGTTGTGTGGCTGAAGAAAAGCGAGCTTCCCAAGACAGTGAGCAGGTAATTATTGCGAGGTTGTGCGAGGTGTTCTCGCCACCAGTCGCAGCACACGCAATCTTCCTAAATGTCTCCACGTTAAAATGAGTATTGGGTGGAGGGCATCTCCATTGGTGGAACTGAACCAATGGAGGATATTCTACATTCTTATGACGAGTACTCGGATTTGCATACAGAGTGAGTGGGAGGTCTCCATCCCTACCTTAAAAGAGTTTAGAGACTTCCCATCCACTCTGTACAACAATCATTGTTCACTCCTAACAAAACATGAATTATTTTATCATCCCTGGATGAATGATGATGGGTTGAGTCATCAACCCTCGATGCAGCATTTGAACTCGGGACCTCCCGCCTGCACGGCGCACGCTCTCAAACCACTGGGCCACGCGGCCGGATCGCCACACCACATCCCCACCCCCCCCCTACCATGAATCCACCGTAAACCCAACGGACCGTGCCACTCTCTTGAGCCTTCTCACCCACCGTCGCGTGCTCTGTCGCTCGCCCTCTCGTCGTCTCACTCGCCCGGCCGCTTGCAGGCACTCGGACTTTGACGACGACGGGAAGTACGGCGCCATCCTGCCGCAGGTGGTGACGGCGGGGACGGTGACGCGCCGGGCTGTGGAGCCCACGTGGCTCACCGCCAGCAACGCGCGGGTACGGTTTGGGCACTCGCTAGCGGTCAAACGGCGACCCTGACTGACGAAGCTAGTGGATTAACAAAGGACTAATGAATAATAAAATATAATCAAAATATCAATGATACACATACAATAAGGACTTTTACAGCGTCTCGCAACCGGGTTGCACAAAGCCGTCTACATCGCGATCATTTTCGTTAGTAGTTCACAATCCACCTCCTACGATCTTGTGCTCGCCGTGTCTCGTCGACCGCGGTCGCCCCCTGCCCCACAGTCGCTCAATCCGTCCGTGAGTCCGTTGCTCGGGTGGTCGGTCGCTCGCCCGGTCAGTTCATCTGTGTTGTCCGATAACCGTCGTGTCCACACATGACAGGCGGACCGCGTGGGCAGCGAGCTCAAGGCTATGGTGCAGGCGCCGCCAGGGTACCATCTGGTGGGAGCCGACGTGGACTCGCAGGAGCTGTGGATCGCCTCCGTGCTGGGCGACGCGCAGATGGCCGGCATGCACGGTGGGGCCGGGGGCTCACGCGCGTGTGAGCTGGTGGACGGGCGCGTGGCGTGACGGCGTCGCTCGGTAGCAGCAGCTGCATCTATTCAGCTTTACTTGCCACATCTTGGCATCTAGAATGTAACAGATTGCTGATGAGATCTATATCTGTGAACTATACATTGCTGAATGGTGGCCTCTCCAAGCCACGGCCATCGCCCAGTCATGCCATGCCGCAATCCTTCTAGCTCCCGCACACAGACTGATCTCATCGCTCCATCTCGAGAGGATGCCCACCGTACAATAGTCACCCTATATACGTTTCTCTAGTTTTGTGCAGTGATCCTCCTGGAGGTCATCTGCTCGAGCTGATTTGCACTGAAGGGAGTTATGTTTGCAGTATTTTCAATTCCTCACGTAACAGTTGCTTTAGTTATTTGTTCTGCATATATATACATACAAAATGGTCCGAAAATTGATGTATGTTGAACCTCTTTTGCACCGTACGTAGACACCAGTGCTAATCGGAGGTGCGGGGGAAGGACAAAAAACTAAAGGCAAAAAGCTGTTCGAAAGAAATTTGTTTTCAATAGAGATAATTTAAAATTGCATAGCTCCAGTGTCTTCCTAATATCAGAACGAAGAGCATTCCAGACGGCCGCGGAAGCGGCCGTCTGGAATGCACATCTGGAAGCGCGCGATGCGGTGACCGTCTTTGTTCAATGGCCAGCCAAAATTCGCAGCGTACTACGAGAACGATGTTGAGAAGGGGGGAGGGTGGGGGGGTGCGATCGTCGTCACGGCTTGTGCTCGCGACGCGGCGGCGCAGGGTGCACGGCCTTCGGCTGGATGACGCTGCAGGGCCGCAAGAGCGACGGCACGGACCTGCACAGCAAGACGGCGTCCACCGTGGGCATCAGCCGCGAGCACGCCAAGGTCTTCAACTACGGCCGCATCTACGGCGCCGGGCAGCCCTTCGCCGAGCGCCTCCTCATGCAGTTCAACCACCGTCTCTCGCCGCAGCAGGCGGCCGAGAAGGCGCGCGCCATGTACGCCGCCACCAAGGGCGTCCGCCGGTAAGTGTGGTGGGCAGGCAGTGGGTGAGCGATGGATGGGCGGTGCGTCAGCCATGGGCTGGGCAGCAAGCAGTGAAGTCGCTACCTCCTGTAGCCTGCTCAGTTTTGTGCCTGTGATACAGCGTTTTGGAGCAAATGTTGGTAGATCGCACATATTTGTTAGATTCTCAAACGTGGTTGGGTTGCTAGGTGGGTGGTGGTTATGGGAAGCCCATGCCTACAATACCTGGTACATCACACTCCATCTTCCAATGAAGTACTCACCCAGATTGGTGGTAGGCAAACAGGTTGGACGATGAACAGCTCTCTCGACGGACGAACTAATAGCCTCGCGATGGCCATTGGCTCACAATGGCCGAGAGATTATGGCATAATTTTAATTCACAAGCACTCCGGTGTTTGTGCGAGTCTTGTGATGCCGTGACCACCACCACCACCATGTTCTGCGCGCAGGCACCGGCTGTCGGAGGAGGGCGAGTGGCTGGTGGAGACGCTGGGCGTGCCCGTGGAGGTGAGCGAGGACGGCTTCATCTCCAGTCAGGACCTGCGCAAGATTCAGAGGGAGGCCTCGCGAAGGTGCAGCTCCATTCCTCGCCCCTTGCCGATCACCGCCATCATCATTGTTATCATCATCATCCTAATTGTCATCATCATCGAAGTCATTATCATAAATTTCCCCATCATTATCATCACCAGGTCATGTGTCAACTTTGCAGCAGTTTTGGGATCTGGAAAAGGCAAGGTTGGAAGGAAGCGATGGCTAGCAATAGTCGTGGCTTTTGTGGCATTGGCCGTGATGACCTCTTGACTTGACCTTGCGATACAGCAGCAATTGTCGTTGTTGGTGTGACCCACACTCAGGTCAAAGGGCTCCAAGTGGCGCATCACAGACGGACGCGCCTGGTCCGGCGGCACAGAGTCGGAGATGTTCAACAAACTGGAGAGCATCGCCATGTCGCCCGCGCCACGCACGCCCGTGCTGGGCGCCAGCATCAGCCGGGCACTGGAGCCCTCGGCCGTGCAGGACGAAGTGAGTCCCCGTGCATCCCTTTGACATCCTCCGCTGAACCTATGAACAAGGCGGGAATGACCCAAGGACTGATGGTGGAGATCATAATACCAAGGGGTGTGCAGATACTGCTGCGGTATCTGGCAGGAGGTAGGAAGCAATGGTTTTGATATTGGACAGCGTAAGCATTGATGAAATCAGGCGGTATTGGTATCGGCCGCGATCTACCCACTGCTACGTGAAGCCAATGTGCCACAGCTTTGTCCATTGACGACTCAGTGCCTACTGCATATAGAGCTGTGTATCTGAACATTGCCCATGTTAATTGGGAGCGGCAGTGTGGCGGCTAGCGCGCCGTGCCACGAACCCTGCGACTTTACTGCGATGCCCGCTCACGGAATATCTGAACTGGTTGCCTACCTCTTCGTATGCTGCACCGGACTTCATAGGTGCTCGCAAACAGCACTTGCCCTAACATTGTGTTAAGGCTACACGGGGGATCTTTGTCGTTGCAGTTCATCACGAGCAGGGTTAACTGGGTGGTGCAGAGCTCGGCGGTCGACTACTTGCACCTCATGCTCGTGTGCATGCGCTGGCTGCTGGAGGAGTACCGCATCGAGGGTCGCTTCTGCATCAGCATCCACGACGAGGTGCGGTACCTGGTGGCCAGCGAGGACCGCTACCGTGCCGCCCTCGCCATGCAGATCACCAACCTGCTCACCCGGTGAGGAGGGCAACGGGGGGGAGGGAGGGGGGTAAGGTGGGGTCCGTGGGTGTCAGAGACGGGGCGTGGATGGCCGATGGACGAGATCGGTGGTGATGGAATGGCAACTGAAGAAAGGAACACGCCCAGGAGGATGTCAGATCATGTGCAGGAGTGAGAGGGATTGTGGCATCGCAGGACCGTGTGGGATGGTGACAGATTGGGAAAGATTTAATCCAGCGGTAGATTGATAATGGTTGGTGATTATTATGCACACACATGACCAGTGCTATGGTTAGTGCAGTCCCTTATGTTGTGATGTCGCAAGCAAAAGGATATTTTCACCGTAAATGAATGAACTTGGCTTCTTTGCACATGCCTCCATGTGTATGTGTGCATGGGGAGTGGTGGCCTAGTGGTTTGCCCACTGCACTATGAACTCAGTGACCCGAATTCAAATCCCGCAAAGGGCCAACATTGGTGAATATCTGAACCGGTCCTAGGTCTACTCAGCCTTAAATGAGTACCTGGTGCAGTGTGTAAACATCAGCAATGGGGATTTAAAAAGGGGCCAGGCTGTGTGTTGGCCACCCAACCACTTGGGTGCCGTGTCCTTCATAGGTGCTTGCTTATGGCATTTGTCCCAACACTGAAAGATTATACGGGGGATCTTTTGTGTATGTGACTTTGTGTGCGTGTGCTCATGCGTGCTTGGTCCGTGCAGCTGCATGTTCGCCTACAAGCTGGGCATGCAGGACCTTCCGCAGTCGGTGGCGTTCTTCAGCGCCGTGGACATCGACACGTGCCTGCGCAAGGAAGTGACCATGGACTGCGTGACGCCCTCCAACCCCACGGGCATGCAGCGCAGATACGGCATCCCTCCAGGTGCCCCCCACGCCCCCCCCTCTTCACCACCACCACTTACACAACTGCTGTCAATAACACAAACAACCCCTCCACCACTTGCCATCTCCATGCCACTTACAAAACAATCAACATTTCCACCACCATCACCTCCACTATTGCCACCACCTCCAAAAACCTTCACTGCTATCACCACTTCCACGACAACCACGAACACCTCCATCACCAACAATACCATTTTATCAAATTGAGCTGAATAAAGGTCGAAATATATATATAAAAAAAGAGAGACACGAGAAATTGTAGTTGCATTTGGAATGTAATTTATTAGATTTTTACAACTTACATGCCTGTTTTTACAATTGTATGTTGACTATTACTGTGGCACACAAGAACACATTTTTGTGAACTCCAAAGCCACATCATCTTTAACATGAAATTTCAAAGCTATGTTTTGACCATGTGCTTTTGAGTGGGCATCACGACAATGGCTTTAAGCAGAGTTGACGGCATTGCATAAGTACAACCGTTGTGTTTGGCCCGCGTACAGGTGAAGCTCTGGACATTTATGAGATCATACAGAAGACAAACGGTTCTCTCGCCAAACCCAAAGCCAAAGAGACCAAGGACAAGGAGCAGAAACTCAGACAAACCGTCTGAGGCCAAAGCAGGAACGTGAGCATCATAAATACAAGTAATTATTGCCTCCAATGACTTTGCTCATACAGTGTTACCTCGTTATAACTAACCACTTGCAGAGTTCACTATTAAGGCCTTCACTACAACAGCCTCAATGACAAATTGAACTGGGCTTTTGAAGAAACAAGAACATTAACGCATCATCCCTGCACAGTGTACATGTATTCGCTATACAGTCAAGCGTACTGCACAGTATAGTGTACAGTGTAGTAGTGTACTGTATAGTATGTACTGTATAGTACACTGTAAAAAAAAAACGATTGTATATTTGGCGGTGCGTCTGATTGTTATACGCGGGGTCACAGACATAACGTGATCACTGTACGGATCGGGTATAAATGAACACAGTAAGATGTTTCTGCAGCTAAGTTAATTATAAACGGGGGAGTATTATACGCATTGGTTCGCTATCACGATGCAATACTGTATGTAAAAAAACTAAATCACTGCAACTTAAAGTGCTGGGAACAGACACAAACTTTGTTAAGTCTTCCTCTTCTTGCTGGGAGGCTTTTGGGATTTTTCCTGCACTGAAATAGTTGTGCTCTGGAAAACAAAAAGATGTAAACAAATTATATAAATCTATTTGTTCAGTCAATTGCGATGCCTGGAGAACAGAAAAGAGCCCCACATATTTGAGTGTTTTGTTGTATTTTGTTGTGTAAATATCAAACACGTTTTTTCTAGCCCGTTAATAAACTTGTTTTGCAAATACACACTCATAAATATCGATTGCCGTGACCAGACACTGGAGTAAATCGGTGTTTACTGATGTGGCGGCGGTGACGGTGGGGCGCACGCACCTGTGTGCCGTCTCCGCTCTGCGTCGCGTCTTCATTATCCGAATCCTGGTTCTCCAGCGCCTCCTGCAGCGTCGCCGCGTTGATGCGGAAGTCGCGCGACGTGCTCGGCTTCATCCCCTCCATCAGGTTCACCTGCAGCAGAATGGAAATGTACGAAATGACAAAGGTCACCCCGTGTGTAGCCTTTAACAGACTGTTGAGGCAATTGCTGTTCGCGAGTAGCATCTATGAAGGCTGGCACAGCACACGAGCGGGTGGGTGGGTGGCCAACACCATGCCCGGCCACCTTTGTCTCCCAAGTGCTGATGTTTTCACACTGCACCAGGTACTCATTTAAAGCTATGTCGATCTATAGAAAGCGGTTTAAATATTTGGCACCGTTATTGGTCGTGAGTGGGAATTGAACTGTTCTCTGGGTTCGAAACACAGCGTGCAAGCCACTGCACTGCCGCTCCCCATTAGAAACACGCCTGGCATTGACAACCTTAATGCTTCCAATTGCTTGCAATGAAGTGAGCGGTTGGCTCAGATGCCAAGAGCACTGAGCTGTACCGCTGAGACCATGAGTTTGAAATTCAGGCAACCGCTTGTGATTAAACCAGGTTTCTCAAGTGTATTACATTTGGCAAAATTCCAGCTGAGAATGAAAATATCAGTTTCACTCTCATACATTAAACATTTATCTCGGTGGCAGGGCGGGTGGGAAGGTGCTGCTCACAACTGTTTGGGACGGATCACTTTAAGGGCCCTTGGAGGAAGTTACGTGAAGCCCACTTCTGTAGGCTGTTCTCTTTTAATGGTTGCACTGCTCCACGGGAGATCAAATACATGTTTTAGTCTCCGAGAGCACAATCGGGATAACACCGGCGGAAGACACAAAAATGTAAAGCAAATGAGGGAAGGCCGTGCCCACCTTGGATTTCTTGGAGAGCTGGATGAGGAAACACTCGTACTGCTCGATATAGAAGATCAGGTTTGGGATCGGCCGTGTTTCCCGCAGAACTTTAGCCTGAAACGGACAGTGGCAATTATCGGGATATGCAGTAGCAGGAGCAAAAATGTCCCCCATCTCGATCGGTCCACCACTCTCTCACACCGACGTGGCGAGCGCCGCCTCTCCCATACAGCTCTGTGAGGCCACAAGCAGACTCCGCAGTACGGCCGACGATCGTCTACGTCATGCTCCGACCCGGAGGGACGGGAGATGTTCTGATTTGTGTCTGTGGGCCACAGCAGGGGAGACGGTGGGTGCTACCTTGGCGGCGCTGGCTAAGGCCGCCGCCCCGCGCTTGCTCTTCTTGTCCGAGCCGTGGTTGAGGCTATCACTCTGCACGCTCTGTGTGCGACAGGCAAGGAGCAAAGGGTTAACTGTCATGCCACAACCGCACAACACCGCCTTCCCTACTGCATCGGAAGAGAAGGCAACGATTCTGCATTGCGTCAAGAGTAAAACGTGAGCAGCTGTGCATTCAATGAACCCACCTGAATGTAGGTGATCATTGCGTAGCACTGAGGAGTAAGATGGGATCCTGACAGTTTCACCTGCAAAGATGAATACATTATTAAATGTAATACAATAAAAATAAGTAGTATTTTAAATAACTTTTTATTAAACACGCTTTAATTAAATGTACCGTACGAGTAATGGCAGAACTCCACGACTCCAGGAAGTGGCCCCGAGGCTTGCCATAACGTAAGGAACCGTGATGATTTACAGCCAACGTTAGTTGAGCGTGGACAATTAGACCAAAAGGCGAAACATAACATCTAAAAAAGGTTTAATTTGTTTTTTTATGATAGAATATAGTATTGTCATCAGTATGACATTATTCCAAGTTTGCAGTCGATACCACATTGGGAAGTGGGTTAAAATTGAGTTACAAGATTTGAGGATACGACAACAACAAACAGAGTGAGTTAAATAAAAGCGTGTAATAAATGTATATGCTCATAATGCAGACTTTTAGGATGTATTGGAAAAGGCAAACCAAAAAGAACTTGAACGGAACTCACCAACTTTTCAAACCTCCCTGGCAGGTCTCCTATATTTTGCGTATATACCTGCAAATACTATAACCACACATAACACACACAAGAAAAAACAGCGAGATAAGCAACACATTCATATTACCGAACGCTTCTATTTAAGAACAGCATGGGCAGGACACGTCACTTAGAAGGCATTATGTCTGGTGGTAGAGACTAACAATGGAATGGCAGCCAAAAGAGGGAATGAACAGGATGTCTCCTCCATGCAGGCGGCAGTGACAAAACTAAAAATGTGATGACTGCTGGGATTGGCGGGTGAGCGAGCTCGTTAGCGGGAGGGCGTACGTATTTGGTGATGGAGGCCAGTACACTGTACATCTTGGTGAGCAGCTTGAGCAGGTTGGTGGAGCAGCTGCCCGCGGGCAGCGCCGCCTGCACCAACTCATGGCAGCAGGTGACCAGCGCTCCCAGCTGCACGGCGGCCGCCCTCTCCTGCGCCTGTCGGGGACCCAAATCCTGCGTGCCCTCCTCTGTGGTCCGGCATCACCCAGCATTGGCATCATTATCAGCACCAGCATAAGTCCGTGGGGAAGGTGATACGGAGAGTGTGATGTTAGAGGATGCAGTGGAGAGATAAGGAAAGTAAGGGACCCACCGGAGGTCACCGGCTTGGCATACGCCAGCTCCCCCCTGAGCCGGGCAATGAGCCATTCCACGTCCTCCAGCATGTGCTCTGCATGAGACAGCACCACCAGCTAGGGGGGGTGGGGGGGAGAATCACAATGGAATGCTCTGCAGTATGAGAGGAGGTTACCGTTTGTAGGTCTCGGTACATATATAGCGAGTGACCATTTAAGAAAAATCTAAACTTTACGTAACTCACAGTTACTGACGGAGCAGTCTTGGAATTCACGATGGCATAAATGGACTGGTTTTCCACCTGCACATCCTATAACAAAAATGTGAATAAATTAATGTCAATGATGATAAATGCCCACCGTTTCTTGCAGCATCTTGAAATGCAGTTACATTTAATTGGACGCTATATAAATCTATATTTTGTTGCAAAGGTGGATAATGTGCAGCACAAATTGCTTGCTCATGCCAATGCTGGCGGAAGGGCCTCTACTAAGAGGGACCTCTAAGGGTAATTGGTCTTCTCTTCCAAGCTGGCCAGACATCTTGTAAGAGATCCTCACTACCACACCAGACACAACCTGCAGATCGATCGTGGACGTACTCGGTTATTCTGCTGGCTGGACAGAGGTGAGAGGGTATTTATGAAACTTGCCCATTGCTTTTCAACTGCAGCGCTGAAAGATTGAATTAAATTTAACCATTGACCTCTGGATTCTAAGTTCAGTTTGCTACCCAATGCATCATGGCAGCTCCTGGTATTGCAAATGTGACTTGTCTTAATAATGAGGCAGATACCTCATTAACCAGTGTAAAATGTGTGTAGCTGCGGCTACGAACTCGAATCCATAAACCGTATAACGGCACTGCCGCAAATATATACATGACGGCGGTGATGGGGAGTATGAACAATTCACCAACTCCCAAACAAAGCAATTGAATGGCTAAATCTCTTACAACTGAATCTCGAATAGTTGCTCTTCATAGGCCATACGAAAGATTGCTTCCATGGGTTCTCAGGCGAGTCAAATAAAGTCGCCAGGCCCACCTCGTCTATGTCGCCCAGCTGGCTGTGAATGTCCTGCGCCAGGTCCTTGAGCAGTGAGCGAGGCCCCTTATGGGCCAAGTGCAGGCTGAAGAGCAGGTTCATCAGCATCTTGCACAGCAGCAGATCCTCTGAGAGGCGAACGGCAGGCAAAAGGTTGGTAAGAACGTATTTTGTTTCCATACGGGTGGGAGTTGTAATCTAGATTTGAAGTTTTCGTGACTGCAGGGATCCATACTCTGTGGTTCTTTCGGTAAAGTCACATAGGTATAAAATAAATTAAATCACGACGTTTCGAGCGCAACACAAGTTTTAATTGCCTGGTGAGAGTGTCAACGTGGCCAAGAGGTCAGTCATACCCACCAATTTTGCTCTCCTTGCAAATTTTGGTTGTCCAGTTCAAGCACTGTTCAAACTGCACGAGGATATGCACATGTGAAAGACAACTTTTTTGTAAATGCACACAACGCAACCTCATTTACTCATTTAACATTTATTTTTTTAGTACATGCTGAGTTAGGTCTCTGGTGTGTGTGAGAGCAAGAGTTTGTGCGTGCGTGCATGTATGTATGTTGACCTCAAGATGCACATGGCCTGGCACAAGCGTCGTGGTGACGTCACCGCCACTTAGTGGTGAATGGCGGTTGTTGTTATATGTTGAACTTCTTTTGCACCGTAAGTAGCCAACCGTGCTGATCAGAGGTGCATGCATGTGTGTTTCAGATTATAGGGAGTGTTGGCATAATGGGTTATCGATCACTATGTTTCAAACCCGACCACCTGAGTTCTATGCCTGGCCAGTGGCGAGTGATATCAGAATCTAACCTGGGCCTGATATAGATCGACACAGCCTTAAATGAGTACGTACGTGGTGCGATGTGGAAAAAAACAGCATTCAGGAGTGGCGTTCCAGCCACCTCACTCCTGCCCGCACCGTTCATGGTCTGAAACAGGTGCTAGTTAACAGTGCTTGGGCCAAGAGTCGAGTAAGATTGTGTTGCGTGCAGATCCCGATCAGGTTCAGGAATTTAACCCGGTTCCACAGGCTCCACCGGCTCCACCCTCGGCTTGTGTGCGTGCAAGTGTGTGTAAGTCACCTCGGTAGAGCCTGGCTGCAGCTCCTTGCTTAACGCCAGCAGGAGGCTCACCAGCCCATGGAGCTCCTTCATGTTCAGATCTTCCTCACCTCCCGACAGCTGCCCAACCACACTCCGCTGAACCGCCCAACAAGTCCCCCGTCAGATAATCGTCGTGCGTGGAGTATCACTCGGACACCATTGTGTGTTGCGAGAATCCCAACTACCGCTGGGATAGGTGGCAAGATGGCAGTATAGCAAGTAGGTTTATGAACCGTCTGCCTATGTTTTTCAACCTTATGTTAAGTGTGTGCGCGTGTTGCCTACCACACATGAAAATCCTTAAACCGCAAATGGCCAAACATCCCAATGCAATACTCATAAAATGATTATTGGTACTTGGTTAGGCTTAATTGGCCAAAAAAATGGCATTTAGAACTTTAAGTTCTCCTCATATATTGTAAAAGTTGAAAGTCAAAGTTTTTGCGTGCGTCGCCAAAGAATCTGCTGTGGCCCAATATTTCCATCCAGACACCATTTACGCTCTACGCACAACTTGCCTGGAACTGCCTCATGTGAAACGCAGCTCTTTCCGCAATGATGACGTTGTCTGCATCCTCTGGATCTTCACGGGATAGATCTGTGGATAAAATTAATCGCAAATGAATTCAGGTAGGGGCAGTAGCAGCGGCATATAGTACTAACGAGTAGCCTCTGCTAGTCAAAGCCAAAGCCATTTCCTGATTAAATGAGCATTGAGGTGGTGCTCATCTGCTGTTTATAGCCCTGAGCCTGCAGTGCAATTCCACACTCCTATGGCGGGGTCGCGGTTCAGCATGGGAAACCGTAAACTCCCCACAAAGTAGTACTTATTTGACCACCATTGGAAAGGATGATGGGCTGAGTCAACCCCCAAACAGTACTTGAAGTCGCAACCCTCTGATCACGAGCTGCTCGTCCTATACCACCGCTCAGCCACCAGGTCAGACAGCCTCCCCTGTTGGCAGCGTCAGCGTACATTTACATCTTCAACTAAGAGGCAGGAGAGAGACCGGACACTCTCAAATCCCCTTACCGAGCGCGGCGTATAGGCTCTCCTTCTTGTGGGAGAAGCGTGTGTTCACGACGGTGATGACGCGCTGCAGCACGTCCAGGCACAGCAGCGGAATCCCCTTGTGCTTGTCCTTCTTGCCCGCGGGCTCCACCACCCCCGACGATAACAGCGACGAGTCATTCGTGGGCACCGCCACAGAGAAGTACTTCCACAACAGCACCCTGGCAGGTTGGGGTGGCGTGCCAAAACCGTGGACAAGGAAGCACGGAGACAGGGTGGGAAAGCTTTGACCCTCCCCCCCCCCAAATTTCGGACAGTGAATGCAATCTATATTGCTGCAGTCCCTCTAACACAAACTGTTTAAACTTCAAAAACGACAGCAGAGTAGTGGCTGTTTATGTTTTAACTGTAGTGTTATGTGCTGAAGATAATCATTTTAGTTTTAAGGGTTATCATCAGCCTTGATTAATCCACTGCTGGATGAAAGCCTCCCCAAGCTATCATCTTTCACGGTTCTGAGATGCAACATTCCATCTAGCACCTGCACACGAGCTGACTTCATTGCTCCATCTCATTCTTGGGCATGTTTTCTCCTTGTCCTGCTGCTTTGTCATTAGTCTTAACCACGGGTCGTTATGCCTGCGAGTAACGTGTTCAATTCTTAGTTGGTAAGGGCGTTTGTAAATCTTGTTAAATTGACTTTAGCGCCGAGAGCCTGCCTCTTTACACTGACGGCCTGAGACATCGATGTTGCAATGTCTCACCGGGCGATGGAGACCAGGTGACGCAGCACCTTGTCGGGGTCCTGTCCGTCGGGGCCGTCCACGTGGCCAATCTCCTCCGCCTGCTGCACCTTCTGCTGCACCACCGTCAGCACGTAGCGCTGGAACTCCACGCTGCCACGCAACGGCGTCAGCATTTCCTCGTGGTCGGAGCTCTCGTCGCTGGGAACAGGAAAAACGGCGGCGTTCAACTTGCTGTCTAGGAAAGATACAATCTTGCCATTACAGGAGAGGGCTTCCCTCTCCTAGAATCCCACAGGATTCCTGGGCAAGAGGACAACACAGCTGATGATGATGACGATGATGCACACCGGTAGAGCGCGGAGAGCAGGAGATCAACGCAGCGCAGCGAGAGCAGGCTGCGTGGCGTCTTGCTCGTCGCGCCGCCCTTGCCCTTTACACTCTTCTCGCGCAGAATTTCCACCAGCTTAAGGTAGCGCTGAAACAACCCCAGCACCTGTTCCACCTTTTGGCGGCTGAACACACCGCCAATCGACACACACACACGTGCAAGTTTAATAAATGGTTTTTTTAGTTGCATATTTCTTTTAAGTGGGCTATGCGGTTGTGTCATGCACTTCAATTCAGTTCCAGATGACCGCGTAGGTGCTGCGCTGACCTGGGATCGCCCGTGATGAAGCTGTACTCCATGAGCACCTCATAGATGCCTATTACCAAGATGACATAGATGTTGTTCTTCACCCCTACGCTGGTCGTCAGCGAGAAATCTGCCGACTTGTCCTGTCAGTGGCACGCACACGGCAAGTACCAGTTTCAGCTTTGTTGGTGATTATCAACATGGCATGGTGTCACTGCCAAGAACCTGAGACAGCTGCATGTTTATGCTGCAGCGTTTATCAAATGGACAGAAGACAGAAAACAGCACGAATCACTGCACCACCAATCCACCCATACCTGCGTATAGAATATGCAAAATGGTGCACATGTGAACGGGCGGCTCACCAATTCAAAGTCGTCCAGGTCGCTCTTGATCATCCTCCGTGTCATCGACTCCAGCATCGCCTCCAACTGCCGTTGACAGCTCTGTGCACCCTCCCCTGCGTATTCACTGCTGCCCTCGCCGCCCCCATCGTCATCATCGTCCTCGTCATCCTCATCATCGCCAACTGCCTGGGCCTTGATTTCACGCCACTTCATCACACAATGCACAGTGCAGCAGAGGAGGTGGCCCTGTGGACACACAGTGGACAAGGTGGACACATGCAGCCGTTTTGTCAATCCACTGCTGGATGAGGGCCTCCCCACGCTGTCTTAGTCACGAAGGTTACTCAACCATAGTTCACTACACTGGTTAGTGAGAGTTGGTGATGAGGAACAGATGTTGGAGAATAGTACGGTTCAACAATGGATTATTCTGCAGTGTCCTCTGCTGACGAGGGAGCCTTGCAGCAGCCGACAACACCTGTTTTATCCATGGATGCCACCCATCCAAGCACTTTCCAGGCTCAAACCTGCTTAGCTTCCTATGTCTGGTGAAATCAGCCACATTCCAGGTGATTTGGTGATAGGTGATGACAAAACTTGGGCAATATTGAAATAAGCTCCCTCTAATCCCCATACTGATGAATCTAAACATATATATGCACCTAAGGGAAGTCAACTTCTATCATCATCCATAATACAGGTTTTTTGTTTGTTAGATCGTATACATTTATTTACGCGAAAGCCGACGTGTTAGCTTACGTGTTAAACGTCTATCATAATTATTTATTTATGGCGAGCAGATGAATGATTACAACTAATATGACCGTTGATTGCAGCTGATAATTAGACAAAATTACTGATAATTAAAGGTAAGTTGTCAGTTTATAAAAGGCAATCGATTTAACTCATCTGAGGCCAAAGTGGGGCATTAAAGGAGTGGCACAGGACAGGTGGGCAGGACGATGGAGGGGGGCACAGGAATCTGGGGGGCAGTACCAGCGGCTCCTGGAGGAAGACCTGCTCGCCCTGTGCCGTGATGCAGCCGTCCAGACGTACTGGCGGCAGGACGTCGCCTGCCTCGTAGCACCGCTTCAGCTGCGCCGACAGAAACGCACACGGTATACACGCACACGTGGGCACACGCGTGACATTAAACCGGAGGCACAACGCACCAGGGAAAATCGGGTCACCTGATTTATGAATGTATACTGTGTCTATCGGACCATTTTCCAGTATCAAGATTATGAAAAAAGAAAAGGCAATAATACAGGATGTGTTAAGATGTTCAAACTCCAAATAGACACCCTTTACAACAAGGCATCAAGTCTGCATTATCCAGATACCTGTCGTAAAACAAATATGCTTAGATGGTGTATGCATTGCCCTTGCAGATGATTAGCATAAACCAGAGAGAGACACTTTATGGCTGTGTCTCACCGGTGCTCGGCCAAAGGATGCCAAAAGGCGAAGAGCAGAAGGACGATGCAAACGTGTCCTCGCTCACAAGTCTCTCATCATCTCTCTGCTACCATTACCATCACAGCCATTGCTCTCAGTAGCCAAGTGTTTTGATTCCTCATCTGATTTCTAATGCCCTGTCGCCATAATGGCCAACGACTCTCATCCATGCTGAGTCCAGAAAGGAACATTTCTATTTTTTTCATTTGTCGTTCCAACCTCATATAACCAGAGTCAATGCAAGAAGTTCATTGCTTTACACCTACGATACTCAACATAGGCCTCTCTCTTGCTGTCAACTTGCGTAATACGCATATACTCCCAATATATATTCACCGCGCTAACGTTAACCAAGTTCAAGAATTTCATGAAAAACACTCAATTGGGACTAAACATAACAATTATCACACCCAACTGGCATACTAATTGCCTTATTAAACAAAATCAACTTAACTTGACTCACCTTCACCAACCCACACTGTCCAGCATGGTCTACTATGAAAGTAATAAAGACTGATAGAAAAATCTAAATTCCCGGAGGCCATCAAATACGGGCACCCCCACACACTCACCTGTACCAGCAACATCTGCAGGATGGTGCTCCCCAGCTTCGAGTTTCTCCGCAGCACGTCGTAGAAACCCTGCCAAAGGAACCGCGTGGCTGAATGAACCGAGCGAGCAGAACAAAGATCACAATACTCCGGGTAGTGTGGCACACGGGCGCCCCCCAGTTCCTCGGAGCAGATTGCAATGAAACTCGGGGCCCAGTAACACAACACATTCCTGCGGAGGGAGCTGGTAGGAACGTTGGCTTGCTCGGTCAATGGCCAGGGTCAACGGCGGCGTGGTGTATTCCGCAAATATGGCCGACTGTGAGGGCGGGCACAAGCCGGCGTGAGTAGGTTAAACGTTGAGTTTTATAAGGGCACCACGGGGTGAACAGCCCCTCCCCACCCAGCCTCATCCCTCCCACTCCCTACCCAGCCCCACGCTCCACACCCAGCCCCTCCCCACCCAGCCCCTCCCCATGTGGCTTTACCGAAAGACCCAAAGAATATCAATTGAATACTCATAATAAAGGTTTTTGGGTTAGATCGCGTTATTTATAAATGTGTCGTAACCCTCCACCACCAGACACGGCCAAACAGTAAAAAATGTGTCTCGTTTACAAAAGACAAATAATTCACTTCTTTAGCCCACCGGTGTGTTGAAGAATGAATCAACATCATTTAAATTTTTGAGTATGACGTTTCGCTGGTAATTACATCCAGCATCATCGGGCAATTTGCCAGAATGGTGAGGCCCTCCACTCGCTCCCCGTCTTAAATAGAGCAGCACGGTGACGTCAACTTTTAACTCAATCTGGTGCAGTGGGGGGGGTATTGTAATTATATAATAGTTTGGTAATCATTCAATTGTTATTCATTGGTATTCTATTATATAATTCTATTATATAATTAACAAGCAGGATGCCACAGGCAGAATGTTTGTTTAACAAGCAGGATGCCACAGGCAGAATTAGCAGGGCGCTTGCACACACGCGTACTTCATAGAGCAGCAGGCGCACATCGGCCTGCTGGATCAGGCAGCGGCGCAGGCTGCCCAGGATCTCCAGGCACAGGGCCTCATTGGCGGCAGGGTTGAGGCGTGCGTGCACCTCCACTTTCACCTGCAGGGGTGCGATCGGGCGCACGAGCGAGCACTGTAAAATGTTGCCGCTAAAGGAAAGACGTAGCCCACAACAACAAGCAATCTTATCTTGCCACTGTGAAGGTTCATGCGGTTCTAGTCAAGTTTATTTTGTTTAGAACGCGAGAGACCAGGATGGGTGTCATTTGCAAGTCACCAAAACGGCAAAAGCATGCCAAACAAATAAAGCACAGCAGGAACTAAATTGAGTGGCACACTTTAATAATCACCAAAGGAAGTAAGCTGCTTAATTTAGTTCGTGAAGAACCTTCCAGCATATGGAGGGAAAAGTGGGACATCACCTCAAATATGTAGAACAATCCAAAAAACACATTAGACAGCTCTTATTTTGTAACTAAACATCTAAACTACCTGTCCCCGGATGTTTATAACAAACTTGAAGCTTCAATCATGAGATAAAATACATTAAAATTATATTGGAGGACATCATTACGCCACTAGAGATTGCTTTAAAAAATGTCAATGCAGTTATGTTACTCCAACGCATTATAATAGTGTGATTAATAGTGACGAATAAATATCTTCATTAATGAATAAGCAAACCAAATATCCCGCGCACTACTCACCTGGCTAGCGGAAAAACCCTGACTGCACAATGTTTGGCTTGACGCTAGGCTGCCCAGCACTTTGAAGTTCTTGAGCAGCAGGAGATATCCGATAACGGATGATTTTCTGGCTTCCAGCTGGCTAAAAATTCAAATAATTTAATTATGCAGGGCAAATAAAGAGTGATAAAAAGCCTTACCGAAAGTGGGTAAGAGCCTATTGAGGCAGCATGTATGCCACAAGAGAGACCAGGAGCAGAATATAAAAGTCTTAGTGGTGAAGTGAAAATACATTACATTATATGAACAAATCACATGCCAATTTTGTGTCAGATGAAATCAAATCAGGGGAGGTTGCTGGGACAGTAATAAGCGCACGGCACTATAAACCCGATGATACGAGTTAAATTCCCGGCCACAGCTAACATCAGTGGCGAGTGGTATCTGAACCGGTCCTGGACACCCTTTTTACCAACATGTACTGATCAGCCCCTTGACCGACATCGAGTGGGGAGGCCTTCATCCAGGAGTATATTGACAAGGGGCGCCAAATATTAATAGAGATCACAAACTTATGTTAACACATCATCATTCATTAAACAAAGGATAATTTTTTTATGTTTAAAACACCTTTATTATTATTTCACAACATTAGCATGACATTATAAGAGCACGTGTGTGGTTACCTGGAGAACATACCCTTGCGCAGTGCGAGGATCAGCGAGTCCTTGAGGTTGATGCGCACCCTGAGAAGGGGCTACAGAGGGATTCAGCAGCAAAGGACGACGCAAACCGTTACAGCGTGTCTTAAAAGTGTACTGGTCGACCCATTTATAGATACTCCACTACTATAAAATGGAGATGTTACAGAGACTATAACAGCTTAATTCAAAGCCTCTATGTGTGTCCCACCAATCTCAATGGACGTGTCACATCTCTGAAAACTTGCCTCTGTAAGATATGGGTCATTTTTTTCGCCGCATTCAATCAGCCGTTGGTAAGAGAGTAAGAGTGGGTCATTAGAAATCAATGGGGTATCTATAAGTGGATCACCCCATATATAGCTTACAAATAAATTGTCACGATAATGATGAAAATTCTGACTTCAAAACATATCGGTGGTATTATAAACATTACTGTACATGAAAAATAAATAAATCACTGTGGCCACACAGAAAATTATTATTCTAAGTCGGTCAAAGATTTTGTAGCCAGATGTTTCGGTCGGAAATAATGTATTTGTTTGTGTGATTGTTTAAGTTCCAACATGATTATGCACACTCTGCTGCAACAGCCAGTTGGCATAAAAGTATGAAGAGTCTGGCCTCCACCATAAATATGTGGTAATTGCCACCAAAGTATCAACTCCATCAGTGAAGATAAGTGTGAAGTAATTTTTTAACTATATTATGCAAAACAGCTTATCTGCAATGAGGACTGACACAGTAAATACACACGAGGGACGAGACTGAAATCATGACCGAGCACATAAAACACCTCGCGCCTTGCTGACTGAACCCATTCGACCTACGTGACTTTACCAACAGAACCAAAGAGTATATGGATCCCTGCAGTCACGCAAACTTCAAATCTAGATTAGGAGACAATGGTGTTTTTGTTTTTGCCAAAAAAATAGAAGAAAAAGGCAAGATTCGCCACCATGTGAATCACGCCCATGGTGTAAAGCAAAGACGATCTGTACGTAAGAGAGAGGAAGGTGCACAGGTGGAGAGCACACACCAGTATGGCCTGCAGCAGGCCCTTCGTGACGGGAGACGGCAGGACCGACAAATAATCAAATGCCTCCTGCACCTTGGGCAGACACTCCAGCAGGTTGAGCGGGGCCGACGTCACCATGTCTGACAGCAGCTCTGAGTCACGATCAGGGTGAAGGGTTAGGGTGAGGGTTAATGTTGGCAGGGACAAACACACAAGAGTCAGAGACATGGAGAGGTTAGAGGTTGAAGACTGTGGTTATATTAGGGTCAGGGTGGGGGGGTAAGGGTGAGGATTAAGGTCGTGGTTTGGTTCGGGGTGAGCAGTATAGAAACATTTATAGGATTAGAGGTTTGAGGTTTAAGACTGAGATAAATAAAACAGTTAGCTTTTCATTTGGGTTGGGTTCATGGTTCGGATTTGGTTATGGTTTCTGTTGTTGTGGCTAGGTTTAAGATTAAGTTTTAAATTTGGGTCAGGGTTATATTTTGACTAGTTTTAATATTAGTGATACATGAGGGTCAGTATTGTGTTGTTGTTGTGGCTGGGTTGGGGCTAGAGATTATTTAGGATATGCAAAGTGAGTAGATGTTAAGGACTCTGTTCTGTAAACATTCATTTATGTAAACAGCTATAAAAATGCACAAGCCAGTTCCGTATAAAAAAAAAACGCAAAACGCAAGTGCTTTATGTTTTACCTAAATAGTGTGTGATTGGCACGGTGGCTTTAGTAACGACTCTGTTGAGAAGCTGCTCCAGGATCTCACGTCTCACGAGGTCATGAGCCTAAGACAAACACAGAAGTCAACAATCACTACCATATCATGTGGTGTTACATCACATTACTGGTTGCCATTCAACAAGACATAGCAAGAATCTGTGATTACATGAAAGGTTAACTCTACATGAAGTTGAACCATAAAATCTGTGTAAGATAGAACTTAGATCGCTAAATAGATTAAAAATAACCCTATTTCAACTGGCTGCACAACAAATGGGAGAATGAGTAATATGAATGTGTAGACGGGCCGGGTTTTATGAACTGCAAGATGATTTTTATGTGAATTATAATTTATGATGATAAACATGAAACAAAACTATAATATATTATAGGTGAGAATGAAGTAGGGAAGGAAAAGACAAGTCATCGGTGGGGACAAAGAAAATATATCTGTACCATTAATCACATGCAAATATAGCAGCAACAGTTACAAAGCATCTAAAAAACATCAGTACCAACAACAGCAGGATCTGCATCAGTAACAACTATGTTACCAGCACTAACAATGGTATAAGCAGCAGCAGTAGCTAAATCATCATCAGCAGCACTGGTAACAGGAGCAACTACGATAGCAGCGGCATCTACAACAGCAGCAACATGTCGGTTGCCACCGCTGGCATCTCCGGCGGCATCTCCGGCAGCATCTCCGCGGCACCTTGAACGTCTCGAGGAGGACGCGTGCCCCCAGGCTGCAGGCTTGCTGCGCCGGCGTCCGAGACACGCTGGCGCCCGTCTCCGCCACCTTGCCGCCGGGTCCCGCCTTGGGCCCAAATGAGTCCATGAGCGTGAAGCCGAGCTGCACCAAGCCCTGCGATATGTGGTCCCAGCCGCTGGCAGCATCGAGCGGACACACGCGGTCACGACGCTCAGCACATCGAGGTTCGTTATTCACCGGCCATGTAACAACCCACCCACCACAATTAAACTAAACGGAAGCAATTCAGGGGTTATGTTTGGATTGAATCATTATTGATTGTTTGTGTCTCTTTCATAGTGGTTTTCTCATAACGTCTGTTCTATCTCCTGCATTGTTTCATTTGTTCTTTTGCGTAAAGGTAACACTTGCACATTATTTCCATAGATCGTAAGCAATCTATTCTCATATTCACAAATTTGAGGACTGTAATAGGCGCATAAGAAAATATAGGATAGCCGGTGTTCGAGACTAACAAAGGATTGGCAGCTAAAGGAGGGAATGTGCCTAAGAAGCTGTCACTATTGACATGGAGTGATGACATTACCCTCTTTACAGGCCCCAGATGGACTGTTACATTGCAGGACCGTGAGAGATGAACGCCTGGAGAAACCAAAAGTTTTCTAAAAAAAAAAGTCTTGAGGCTCAGCAAGGCTGTCCAGGGTAAAGCAATTTCCTCACACAAACTATCATGCGGCTGTGGAATATAAAACCCTCAGCTCAATGCAAACAGCTTCAGTAGCGTGCGTGCAACTCGATTCAATAACCCTGAAGTTGGATAAGAACTGGTGGATAATCTGGCGCTCTGACCACGCGTTACGACACATGACGTGGCGGTGTTGCCGGGCTGCACCTGTTTTGGATGGTCTCGAGGATGACGTCGGACACGCACCACACCTGCGACGACACCAGGTCCTTGATGAGCGCCGAGCTCTGCTGCATCTGCTGGTCCCTGAAGCTCTTCAAGATAGCCACCTTCATCATCTCAAACACCTGGCTCGCACCAGCAGCAACAGCAGCAGCAGCAACGCAACCGAGCATGTTATATGATGCATTTGTAATAATTACCTTCAAAGAAAATGGCAGAGCAAACAAACCTTTATTCCAATCGTCATGATCCGACCACAGTTTAGGTGAGCGGAATGTAAAGCAGCTAAATTTGTCCATTAACGGGAAAATATTTTAAATGCAGAAATGTTCACCACGGCGAATTGGAAGGAACACAGTGTGTGTGTGTGTGTGCATGTGACGAGCGGAAAGTGTTCGTATGGGGCTGTGTTGGTCGGCTAGAGAAGACGTGCAGACCACCTGTTCCTCCAATCGGTGAATCCTCGCCAGCGAGAGTGTGAGTGCGACGTTGAACGGACACAGCACTCGGCCCACATCGCCCAGCTGTCCGACCTGGCAAGCGGGCAACACTTCTATGTCAATTTGTTTGAAAAGCAGATCACGCAGAGCACCTCGTGGGGAATTTAAGAATGCATTGTACTAAGTAATTTTTTACACTTTTGACATGTACATATAATCATACGTGTAATAATGTGTTTCTATTCATATGAAAGCATTACCATGAATCGTGAAAACAATCATAAATACATCATATACCATGGTATCAACTTTGAAGATATTTTTTTTTTACTTTATAACCATTATCACAGCATATCAATTATATATGTTGTGATATACACCTTTTGAACACGTTCACCTGCTTTGCAATTGCGGCCTATATATATGTCAAGATTTCCCGTATTGCTTCTCAAAGTAAAAATCAAACCTCCTCCCTGCCCAAACAACTGTGCTTATCTCCAGCAGTAGCCAGTGGTGGAATTGACATTCTCATTTATGTGGGCCAGTCTCCATATGGGACAACCATTGTTATCTTTTGTTGGCCTCTTTGCCGATATGCAATACCAGATTTTTCTCACACTTGTGGAAACTAATTCTGACGATCTTGATATCATCGCAGCTGAAGATGCCGATGCTACCACATCATGACAAACCATGCCAAGCCATACCAGACCACACTGTGGTGATACCTTGAGGGTCTTGATGAACTCTCTGCCCAGGTCCTGGTCCAGTTTGACAGCAAAGACGATGTGGAGGATGATGGTCCCCTCCACGTGCCGCAATGGAACCGTCGACACGGCAGCTACCTCCAGCTCCGTGGCACTGTCACAGAGAGAAACAATTTAGTTTTTTTTCAGCCAGGGGAAGAGTCCAGTAATAAGAGACGAACAGATGTCAGCCAGGTGAAGAGAGAAGAGCTTCAGAGACCACAGGTGGGGATCCACATATGATTCATGATTTTAATTTCATTTCTTTTTGTAACACATAACATATAGAATACCACATGCCCCTTTGCCCAGTAATTCATTCTGAGCCAGTGATTGAAATTTCACATTTATTCTTATGGTAGAGAACCATCTATTTACAGAACAACCTATGTTTTCAGAGCACATCAATAATAATACTAATACTATGAATACCTAATCCAGGAAAACCAGATAATTTATTTGATCATTGTGAATGTTGAGACAGCATTGTGTAAACACAATTACAATGTTCCTCTTACTCCTCAGCGCTCTTTTGGTTGCTGTGCAACAGGTCCTGCTCCTTGAAGAATGAAACAATCCCCTCCAGCGCCAGCTTCTTATGGCTCTGGACACAATGAAAACAGACCCATTAACTTGGTTACAAAACACTCCACACACCTCATTCAACGCGTCAGCAACAATGCGGTCTGACAGCTTATGCGTTACATGATTGACAGGCTACCTAATGTGATTGTCCGGCTACTGTTTCATAGAGTGGGCGTAAATTTGTGCAAACTTGTGCCACTGTTGTAGTTAATACTGTGTCCTGGCTGTGCTATGAACCAGGCGGCCCGAGTTCGATACCCGGCCATGGCCAACAACAGTGGCAAGTGATATCAACCCCCTGACCCTCTTCGCCATCCTCCACTGACCACTGTGGTTGAGTACAATCAGACAGACCACAAAACCGACACGAGGTGGGAAGGCCCTCATCTAGTAGTTGATTGACAAAGGGATGTAGATTATTATTACGGGCGCTGTTACTTCGTGCCTTCATGACACCGCTCATAATGCGTTCACGAGTGCGGGATAATTGCCTTGGGAGCAAGGAGGAGCAGCTGGTAAACGAGGGGAGGCAGCTCCTGCAGCTCCAGGCTGGGCAGCAGCCGCAATACCTTCTCCATGACAAACTGCAGCTCCTCCTGACTCAGCGGCACGTCCCTGCACGTCACAAGATTCCCACAATCGCTTATCCCAAAGAAATCGATACATCCCACAGGGAAGGGCTGCACTGTCCGTACGACACTGTTTATACAATATGGACCCATATCTTTAAAAGGTCCTTGCCTATAACATCTGGCAGTTCACCAGCAATGATTCAATCAAGACCGATTCTGCTTATGAGACACTGTTATGTCAAAATAGATCCAAAGTTTGCTGAAATTATGCACTCCTAGAAGGTCATTGAGCTGATAGGTTTTGTAAGGTATATTACATTTTTATGAGAACCAGATTATAGATACATTTTGTGTTTATCTATTTTGTTTGAGTAATATGATCACAACGTTATCATAGCAGCACTCCCATCATATACCTAAGTAGATTCCTTCGAGCAAAGATGTGTTATTTTATTTCAAAGTGAGGGTCATGTTTGAATGCAACGCTGAGATTATTTGAAGTGACCCAGTATTACCTGAACATAGAAGTCAGGTGGATCACACACTGAGAGTCCCACCTGCAGAGCATAAATGCGTGGATAAGCATCAACTCAGGATTCACAAATAAAAACAAATTGCATATCATTGAAGACATGTCTCACACTAATGGGTATGTGTCATTAAATAATCGTGCTGATGATGGAGGTGGTGGTGTTGGTGATTGTGATGGCCATGCTTGCTTGAATGGATACATGATGAATTAATCAGATGATGATGGATTTAATTAATGACCATGATGATGTGTATATGGAAATTATATCTGCCATACCTGCTGGAACACAATGTGTTGATGATCTGTTTTTTGTATTCCATGCCACTAAGCTGTCCTGCACAACACAAGAAAAAACAGAAATGTAATCATGAAATAAATATTTGATTATGCTTATTTACCCAGAAAAGCCTCGCTGAGTCTCAACACTATTTCTCAGGAGGGTTCTGCTAAGTTGTCAATTGCTAAGTTTACATTCATCCGTATGCTACTGTTGTTGTTTGTTAGCATTTTAACTTAAGAAATACAGCACTATTGGTTTCATCTCCATGACATTTTCAGGGAATTGAAGGCTGGGTCCCTCACTCACCATCACCGTAAGTGATTTTCTCCCTGGTGCCCAGAGAGGTTAGGATGTTGGGAAGCAGATCAAGGGATCTGCCATTCATCACGTGGCCGCTCTTTATCGAGTCCACGTACATGGAGGCCAACTTGGCCAGGCAACTTCCAGGCAAGGAATCCGTCTGTCATACACAACATGCATATATATTATTGAAAGACAAAGATCCCCTGTATAGCCTTTAACAGATATTGGGGCAAGTACTGTTAGCGAGTAGCACCGATGAAGGTCGGAACGGCCCACGAGGGGGTGGGTGGCCACCACTGCAGCAGTCACTCCGTACTGCTCACCCCAAATCCAACTTAAATCCTCCCCAGCCTCCTTTTCCTCCTCACATGGCTTATTCCAGGCTCCTCAAGACCCACACTTCCATCGCACTGTTCCACGACTCACAAAACCATTTCTGATTGGCTGCAACTGTATTTTTCGGGCCAGCGGTCGCACTATATCTGTCACCACAGTGCCGCTCTCACCTCCATCATGAGCAGCCCCATCATGTTGACCGCCACATAGTTTTCCATGTCCCCAGACTCGGCCAGCTTTGCGCAGCACGTGTACGTCTTCAGCCGGCGCTCAACCCCATCACCGCTGTGGCACGGGGAGCCTGGGTAGAGAGAATGGCTCGTGATTTAGAGGGGACTGCTGTTCAAGGCTGTGACAACCATAACAATGACACCTGTGGTTTCAGCGACTACCATTCTAATCGAGTTCCATGACTGCCTGTCTGGTTCTGGTCACCACCTGTCAATTAGCACAATCAGGGTTCATGATTTGATTCAAATATAGGTTGTTCTTCATCATGCTTGCAATGGCTCAGTTTTACTGACTTGTACTTTGTCTTGTGTACTGTAGTCTCTGACAAGTTACTCAAAGGTATTGTCTATCGCGTTTGTGCTGCCTGTCCTGTGTAGTTTGTACAGCGTGAGACTCACAATGGTCCCAATTAACGCATTGGCAAATGTTTCCATTAAGTCAGAATTTTCACCATAAGCGTACCGTTGTCTTCATCACCAACAATGGGGCAAACTGTAAAAGCGTTTAGTGAAGGTGTGCATTTTAGCACGGTCAATTATCTCTGAAATTCAGTGGGTAATTGTGGAGCTCCATGACAGAATGACCTCGTTTAAAAAATATATATACATCTCAAGCTGGAAGGGCAGATCATAACACAACTTCGGAAAGAACCCCCTCACTCCAGTCACTGTTTCCATGCTGGCGTGGCTTGCAGCCATAAAAAAATCGAAGGTGTTTGCGATCGTGGCGAACTTGGCCAGGCAAATGACGTCCGTCCATCTGATAGCGAGGAGTTGATGATGATGGCTTTGACTCTCACCGAGGAAAATGGCCCTGAGCAGGGCGTTGAGGTCACCTTCGCCCCTGACTGCATGCCGCTTGATTAGTTCCTCCAGCTGCAGGGAGTCCATGAAAAGAGTTGTTCACGTCATATTATTCCAGACATAACAACAGTAATATTCACGTATACAAAGAAGCTTAGCGGAGCCTCAGGAGATGTTTGGTAAAACATTTTTAACGTATACTTTGTGGGGTTAACTTATTGGAATGCCATCTCCTGGTCACCTCGCAGCCCAGCTGCTTGGGAAGTCTCCCATACATACCTGCAAGTCTATATTACGTAGTTTTTTCTCATTAGCTTACGTGTCGATACCAAGTAGAAAGAGACAGGACCACACCTCTCCATTTGGCAGCGCCTCCAGCTCCTTCTGCAGGGAGGCAGCGTCCCCCTGCTCCAACATCAGCAGCATCCTCTTGTCCATGACCCCTGGCGGACACGAGCTGACGGACACGAGCTGATGGACAAGCACCAATGTGGACAAGGGTTGAGGGGACAGGAGGTTACGGACAACAGACGAGGAGGGGCGGCAGCTGACAAGGAGCGATGGCTGAGGGCACAGCACAGCTGTCGTGAATCGTGCTCAAGTTGGTGCCCCTTGTAGTGATTGCCGTCACAGCGGTTGTTGAGGTTGTTGCTGGTGCACAACCATTCAGCAGCTGCTGTTCGAGCCGTCTTCTTCGGTAAACCCGCTGTCGTTGAGGCGGCTGGCACGGCTCCGCGACGAGGCTGTTGTTGTTGTTGCTGCTGCTCTCAAGAGTTGCTGCTGTCAACTCCGCAGTCACTTACCCGCTTGGTGGTGGAGTTGCTGTGGTTGTTGTTGTTGTTGTCGGTCACGGCGCAGTTACCTCAGCTGCCCACTGTCGTTAAATCTGCTGTACCCCTCCCCCCGCCCGGGTCAATGTTGTTGCTGTAGTCAATATTGTAATATTTTAAACTGCTTGTGGTTGTTGTTGTTGTGGTGGTGGTTGTTGTTGGTGCAACTCCTCGGCCTCCACTCGCGTTTCGCTTTTCCCGCCTTCTGAGCTTCACGGCCCCTCCCCCCCGTGACGTCACGAGGATCGCGTGACCCGGAAGTGGCGACACTCAAAAGCGCCGCCACCGCTGTTGCTGCGAAGTTGCTGTTGTTGTTGCGGCTACTTCTCTCTCTCTCTCGCTCTTGCTTGTTGTGGTCCTCGTGGTGGTTGTTGTTGTTGCGCCTCCTTCAACGATGCTGAAGCCCAAAGCCCTCACGCAAGTGCTGAGCCAGGCGAACACGTCGGGAGTGCAGAGCACGCTGTGAGTACCACGGCGCGCGATGTCCCCACCCCGTGGTGGCTCCATTGAGGCTGCCCCTCCAGCCCCTTAACGACGAGAATGTTCCCTCCACTTGTGTTCTCGGCAGTCTTTTCACTACAGTCTGTACCCCCCCCCCCTCCCGACTGTTCGCCACTGCGTCTTCGTGCCAGTCTCTTCCATGTTCCCAGGCCGAGTGTTACTCTCAGCTCTTGCCCCGAACGAACGTTCCCTCCAGGCCCTTGCCTGCTCCCGATTGTCCCGACAGCGTTGTTCTTGTTGTTGTTTCCCCCTCTTGTCCCCTCACGAGAGTCTCTTCCCTCGTTCGGTTCCCGTAGAGTGCAGCCGTGGCCACCCGGCGTCTCCCGAGCCGCACCACCATCAAAGCATAATGAATGTCGCCCGTGTTGTGCCAACAACTCTCAATATGTCTCCACACACAGACACTGCGTGTACACTTGACTCCGTGCAGAACTCACGGCTCCTGGTCTTGTGGAGGTTGGCCACCCGTGCCATAGACATCGTTCTCTCAAGGCTCACCAGAGTCGGCCTTTCTGTGACAATGCCAGGCGTACATCCAGGACGACGACGACGATGATGATTATTTGTAATGATACGCGCAATATCTGCTGTGTACCATCCCGTGTCACACCCCCCTCCACCACCCCTGTCCCAGGCTTCTCAATAACGAGGGCTCCCTGCTCGCCTACTCGGGATACGGCGACACGGACGCGCGGGTCACCGCCGCTATCGCCAGCAACATCTGGGCGGCGTACGAGAAGAACGGGCGGCAGGTCTTCAACGAGGACAAGCTCAAGTACATCCTCATGGACTGCATGGTGAGCAAAGCGCAGGGCTCGCAACGCCACGACTGGGACGAGGAAGAGTGGGCGGGGGGGGGCTGTCAGGCGAAGTTGCAGAGGTGGGGAGAGGTTTATTATGGGGGAGGGCTAGTGCTGGTGTCAGGTTGGTCCGGCGTGTTAGGATCAGACATAGGGGATCGGGTCTGCTTGGCTGGTTCAATAGGACTTGAGTCTAGTTGTCTTAATTGTTAGGGATATGGTCCGGTTAACAAGTATTTCTTGAGATTCGGATGTAGCGATATAGTCTGATTAACCTGTTAGGATGGGGAGTAGTCCGTGGTAAGGCTATGGCTTTGGTTAGTTTGTTAGCTCTACAGTCTGGTTGGATCGTTATTAATGAACGAGTGATGTGCGGGTGTCTTGTTGTGACAGGAGGGGAAGGTGGCCATCGCGAGGGTGGCAAATCTGCTGCTGTGCATCTACGCCAAGGAGACGGTCGGCTTCGGAATCCTCAAAGCCAAGGTGCTGCCCGCGCCATGGTTGTGCACTCTTTTGCCCGTGTCACCTCCGAGATTCGGGGCGTCGCTTCTCTCGTTTGTCCTAGAAACATTTCAAGTTACATTTATTGACAGGTATCATGTCGCAAAATGAAATAATTACCCTTTGAAATTCTCGCAGAAGACGGTATAACATTACCCCACGTTAGACAACAACCTCCGTAAATAGATGTCACAGGATGGCTTTTGAGGTCGCTTAAATTCCTTTGATCCATTTTGGAAACAATTTCTGCCACTGCCTCAGGGCTTTCAACGGCGATGAGCGTGCACTTTTAACTGCTGGTGCGTCCGTGTGCACGGGACCCTGACCCCACGATGCGTTTCTCTGTCCCCACTCCCTGACAGGCCCAGGCCCTCGTGGAGTACCTGGAAGAGCCGCTCATGCAGGTGGCCGCATCGTAAATCTTGACCGCACGACCCCGGCGACCCCCCTCGCCGGGGTCGGGTGGGGTCGAGGGCGTAGGGGCGACGCCAGCTCCGTCTCTGCTTCATCACCTACCCCCAGAAGCTGCTCCAGGTCATAGCACCTGGAGCCTGTGGAATTCCGTGTTTGTACAAGATAGGCATGTAACGGGGATTCGCAACCTTGCTTAGGGGTTCGACGCACACGGCACGAATCGGTTTGATGCACAGGCCACGAATCGGGGTAATGATTAAATTTACAAGTAATTTCTTTTTCATGTTTTTACTTTTTTCATTTGCGTTTTTCAATTTCTCTTGTACAGTTTTTGCTGCTCCCTTAGTTTAAATGTAAAATAACCATATACATATAAATAGTCCAGAGCATAAATAGCTCAGAGCATGTCATGCACACACGATCCGACGACTGCATTGCGAGTGTCGGAATCCTTTACAATCAAGCGATGCACTCGTTACGTTTCCATAAAAAAAACAATGGTGACGTTACTTGGCCGATTTTTGACCAGTCTTGCATTGGTGTAAATACAGTCCGAGACAAAATATACCTTGGCTCACAGAAATATCGGTAAACATTAATTTGAACTCAATTATTACGTGATGCTACTGCATAGGCAGTGGTGCGCAAAATACAACAAAAAACCTTGCACATTCGTCAATAACACCGTGACCTTAAAGGAAAAATGAATATCATTCGCGATGTTACGGTCAATGGCCCTGCTTCATCGAACATATTTAAGGCCACGGTGTTATTTACAGATGTGTTCAGTTTTCTAGGTGTTTGGAACCCAGGTGTGCATGCCACTGAAACACAATCTCGTTTGCAAAGGAGACCTGCAGAACAAACAGAAGCATTAACATGTCGAGTGTAATGTATTCAGTGCTGAAAACGTAGTGGGCTTTTGTTGCGCTGCTCTGTAGAAAGCCAATTGTGTGGTTATGGGAAATTGTTGCGAGCGAGCGGTTATGATGATGGTGGCGAGTCGTTTTCGGTCTGTACTTTATTACGGAGGCGGACCGACGTGTTCCGTATTCATGTTCACATTGTGAGCAATGTATATTGTTTTGCCTTTCATTATTATGCTGCGTTTGTTGAATAAATTAAAATCAGTCATCTCTGGTTTACGCCTCGCCTTTGGTGGGAAACGATTTAGAATATTTCTCAGATATTGTTGATACGTATTCTACCGTGTTACTAGGCACACGTCGACACTCCAGGATGCGATTGTCGTCACAGCCGAGATGACGAGGAGGAGGGGATTGACGGAGCGAGGGGGGCAACTTTATGGGGGGCACTGGGCGGAGTCATTGGGAGTAAAGAGGGGGGGGGGGAGATTTGGGACGGAGCGCGCAGACTGAGCGGCTCACAGTGGGAGGCAGACGAGAGAAGAAGCTGCCTACGGAGGAACTGGGATTTAAAACAGATTTACCATTTCTTCGCCGCCTCTGTGTGTGTCCGTCCACTCTGAGCTCGAAAAAAGCGGTGAAGCCAGAAAAATCGTAGAATATGTGACGAGCACACGCTGCAAGGGAGAGGAGTGGTTGCGTTTGAGTGAGCAAGACATGTTCGTGAGTGGAGATGAGACCCTAAGCTTGGAGTAATTGAAGCGAAGTGGTCAACGCTGCACTGGGGAGGGGAGGCTGCGCTCGCTGCTCGGGGCTGAGCAATGACGACGACGATGATGATGAGGCTCCGCAGCGGCAGCAGCAGCAGCCTCGCCCTGGTGCCGTGCACCGTGAGGCTCCCGGACGGCTCCGAGATCACCTGCCAGGTGCAGGTGAGGCGAGGCCACGCCTGCATGGCGCGCACGTGCGTGAGTGTCTGTGGGCAACACGACACACAACGTGGGTTTGTGATGTCTAAATGTCGCTGTACAGAATACGGGGGCATGTTGACGGATAGAAAGAGGCATTCAATCCGAGGCAGAGGGAAAACATGAAGGTCTTGAGTGTGGACTTGAACAAGGGTATGTAGTCTGCATGGATGGCAGAGGGATGAGAATGAGCGAACGATGGCTGGGAGCTTCGATAGAAAGCCGTGGTTGCTGGAGTGGAGAGAGTGGTGGGGAGGAGAGTGAGGTGAGAGGGTCGAGGTAGGCAGGGATGAGTCGCTGTATGATAACACTCTCATTCCGAGTGTGTGTATCCCTCTTTTAACGTGGGTGCGTGTGTATGTACTGTGCATTTGCATCTATACGCACGCTTATGTGTACCATCAGCTGCAAGTGATTATATCAACCAGGTACTGTTTAACCCCTAGGTAGACTCAGCCTTAAAATGAATATCTATGGGGAGACAAAGGCGGCCGGGCGTGGTGCTGACTATCCACCGTGTCGCGCGCCATGCTCGCTATCAGCACTTACAAGGTCGCACTCGTCACGCACGAAGCGCTTGCCACGTGAACCACAAGACCTCGCTCATCTCTTGAAGGAGCAAAAACCATCACGCAAACTCCGGCGGTCATCCTCGCAGCAGCAGCGCCTTTTGGCTCGGCCATCGAATAAAGACGGCCACTGCATCGCGCGCTTTCAGATGCGCTTCTGTGGGTGTCTGGAAAGCTTTGCCATTGGGAGCTATGCACTTTTACATCGTCGAGATTGAAAACTAATTTTATTAGAACTGCTCTTTGTCTTTAGTTTGCTGTCTTTTCCCCGCACCTCCGATTAGCACAGTTGGCTATGCACGGTGCGAAATAAGTTCAAATGCATATACACCCTTGCCCAAATAGCCCGTGTATCCTGTACGGGGGACCTTTGTCTTTGTGCAATGCGCGCAGGCCGGCGGCACGGCCCGCGCGCTCCTGCTGCGCGTGTGCGAGCGCCTCGGACTGGCGGAGAATCCGTGCCTCGGGCTGCGACACGTGGACTCGGACAAGCAACGGGTGCCGGCTCCTCCTCTCGCTCACACTGCTGCCCACGTGGGGTCCCGTGTGGGGGTCCCGTGTGTGTCGGGCAAGGCCGTAGCAATGGAGTCAATATTGGGGGGGACCAAATATTCCAGGGTGTCCGCGGGTCCCCCCCCCAAAAAAAAAAATATAAATTTGAAAACTAATTTCCTGCCATTTCTTGCATAAAATATACAAAAAATTCACTAACACATCGGATGGACTTTTTATTTATTTTTTACAATAATGTCTAATAGTGTATTGTATTACATTGCTCTGTTTTTTTCTTTTTTACCTTTTCTTGTTTCATTGTATGTAATGGCAGATATTAGGCATTAATAAAGTACAATCATAACCACAATCATATGAACATAAATCTATTTTATAGCAATATATTGGGGGGGGGGGGACATTTTGAGCATATTTGAATATAATATATTATAATTACGGCCCTGGTGTCGGGCGTCTATGTGTGTCGCGCGCGCGTGCGTGTGTGTGTGAACCTTGTGAGCGCGCTAAGAGCACGTGCCCCAACGGCGTGTTAAGGCGAAACGGCGGTAATTTTGTCTTTGATATTTGAAAATTGTGTATTCTGTGTGTGTCCCGTGTGTGTGTCCTGTGTGTGTTTGTGTCCTGTGTGTATCATGTCTGTGTCACGTGTGGCCTGCGTGTGTGTTCTGTGTGTTCCGCGTGTGTGTCTATGTATGTATGTGATGTGTGTCCTCTGTGTTCTGTGTGCTATGCGTGTCCAGTATTCCCCCTGTATCTTCCTTCTGTGTCGTGTCCTTTCTAATCTACGTATCATGTTGTCTTGTGTGTTGTGTGTGTGTGTTCTCTGTGTGTTTAGCACTGGCTGGACCTCGCCAAATCCGTGGCAAAACAGATCACGAGTGAGTGGCGTTTCCCCCTCTCTCGCTCTCCCACTCACGGACTTCGCCCCCCCCCCTATTCCATGGTGGTGTGAGTGAGGGTCGAGCAGCGAGCGGTGTGGGTGGTGGTGGTGAGGATGGAGGGTGACAGGGTGCCTTTGTTAAATTGTCGCTCGCCTGTCGGAGCGAGTTCGTCAGCGCGAATTCTCTGCCAGTCTGACATTGATCTGTCACCCCCCACTTCACAATCAGACAATAACATTTCCTGAAAATGAAGCTTATGGAATAGGCGACGTTTCAGGCAATGTCCCTTCTTCACAGCGGATAAGGCGGCCTCTCTATGTGCCGTGAAGGGCCTTTTAAGGCCGTGCTTTTGACGAGTGTGTTGAGGGGTTTGTGTTGTTGTTGTTGTTGCGTGTGATTGTGCACCGCTGCCAACGTAGAGTCACCAACACAAATGTTTCTGTCAAAGTCATTCAAACCATCTCGCCGCGGTTCCGCAGGAGCAGCTGTGTGCAAACGATAGAAATATCACATTGAAATGAGACGAGCACTTTAGCTTGCCAACAATGTATCATATTGATAGATACTATATATTTTTTTGTTTTAATACTGCGTTTAATCGACCAGCATTTGCTTTGTTTAACAAGGCTGCTGATGAGCGCATCAAATGTTGAAACTGGTCCATATTAGCCAAGAAAGTTCATATAGTCATGAACTAAAATATTGTATTTGATTTGATTTAGAGAGACGGAAGAAAGTCTGTTTATATTCAAGGTCCATAATGTGCCCCAGCATAATGAATTTTGTTGATGATGATAATAATAATGATGCTTATGCTCGAGATATTAGAAGAAATGGGCGCACATTCACAATGCACATATAGAATAACTGACGTTTAAGTACATACGAGTGTAACGTATGCGTCACGATGCACATGCACTAGACCATACATTAGCTACAGACAAGGCACGCGCGTCAATGAATGTTAATGTCAAGACGTGAACACACACAGATACGAAAATACACACGGAGAAAACACACGGACCCACACATACAAAGACCACCCGTGTGCAGCCTCAACAGACCGTTGGGGCGAGTGCTGTGAAGGCCGGCACGGTAGGCGAGGCGTTGGGTGGTCAGCACCCCGCCCGGCCGCCTTTGTCTCCCCGCACCAGACACACACGCGCAGACACACACACACACGCGCAGACACACACACACGCGCAGACACACACACACGCGCAGACACACACACGCAGAGTCTCCTTGTCGCGGGGAGGGCGTCCCGGGACCCCCGGGCGAGCGCGTCTGGGGCCCTGACAGCGATGGTCATCGTTATAATGACTTCGTCTTCCCCGCCCACACAAGCACACACACACGCGCATCGATACAGAGACAAAGATCCCCCGTATAGCCTTTGTCTCTTCGAGGTTAAGTGCTGTTGGCGAGTTACGCCGATGAAGGCTGGAACGCCACACGAGGGGGTGGGGAGACAGAACCACGCCCGAACGCCTTTGTCTCTCCGCATCAGACGCACGCACGCACGCGGATCACACGCCAACTCCACATTCCTATGGCGAGAAGCACTCTGACTCTCAAAATTATAGTAAAACGAAACAGCTTAAACATCGAATTGCCAATAAATGTACGTTGAACTTCTTTCGCACCGTACGTAGCCAACTGTGCTAATCGGAACAACTTAAAATACTTAACGCATCGACAATTAGTGCCAATGTGAAGTGTTCGCGGTTGTGCAGCTGTGCGGCTCTCCGATGTGTTTTTTCTAGGGTCGTATCGCGCTTCGTCCGGCACCATGTCCGACGTTTCGCTGCACACGCTGCAGAGCTTCACGTTCTCCCCACGCGCTGGGAGTTACAATCCTTAAGAATCTCCCAGTATGAAGAGCGAAGCGTCGAAACCTCGCGGCAACCCCAAGTAGACTCTGGCGGATAATCCTTGCAAGTGGGGGATGTGTCGAGTCGACTCCAATGAACGTGTGACCCTTGTTGGGGCCGTGCTGTGTAAAACAGCTTTATAGCTCATCGGATTCCTCCAGTGCAAATTAATATTCTGATTGTGTGTGTGTGTGCGAGCAGCTGAACCTCCGTACCGCGTGTGCTTCCGAGTCCGGGTTTACCCGAGTCAGCCGGCGCAGATCCTGGACCGAGGAGTGAGGTAGGAGCCAAATCGCACTTCCCACACGCGCGTGCCATTCAACTGGCGACTATTTAAAATGATGCACGTTCGTAATCATCAACACTGGACATCTGTGTCAAAGAGCTGTTAAATTGATAATTGTCGTGGCCACGTGGAGACGTTTTGTAAGCGCCTGTGGGTTTATTGACGTGTGAATTGACGATGTGTTTAAGTGCTCTGCAGCTGATTTGCGGACACGTGTCCACGGCTTGTGGGTGTCTCGCGCGCAGGAACTTCGTGTACCTGCAGCTGAAGCGCGACATCTCGCACGCGAGGCTGCAGTGCACGCGCGCCGACGCCGCGTGGCTCTCGGCGTGTGCTCTCCAGGGTACACACACACACACGCGCGTGTACACCCAGTTATATAGGGACATACGTAGAGTTACAAAGACAGAGATTTTCCCGTATAGCCTCTAACAGACTGTTGGGGCAAGAGCCCCTATGAAGGTAGGGGACGGCACGCGAGGGGGCGGTGTGGCCAGAACCACGCCCGGCCACCTTTGTCTCCCCAGCGGCGATGTTTTAACATATCGCACCAGGTGCTCATTTGAGGCTGAGTCAACCTAGAGGAAGCCTAGGACCGATTCAAATATCCTCCACTGTTATTAGTCGTGAGCGGGAATCAAACTCGAGTAGCCAGGTTTGTAGCGCTCTCTGCTAACCACTGCGCCACCGCTCCCCATACATACAGTACAGTATAAACACACATTCACAGAGTCATAGAGACTTACGCGCATACATAGATGTATACAGACACGCGTGCCTTGCAAGTTCACACGCACACTGGTCGTGTCACGTTTGCCTTGCCACGTTCCACCTGGCACACGTGCCTCCTCGCCGCGTGGCACGGGTGTACCTCCACATGCCACCTGTGCCCTGCGTGTCCTGCCACGTGCCATAGCCCCCACGAGAGTGTTCCATCGCACACGCCACTTTGCCAGGGTCCACTTGCCACGCGTTGCCCTGCCACGTGCCGTCTTTCCACAGCCGAGCTGGGCGACTCCAGCCCCGCGGAGCACGGCGAGGACTACGTCAGCCGGCACTGGTTCCTGCCACGACGCTCGGAGCGCACCGAGAGACTCGTCGCTACCCTGCACACAGACCGACTCCGGTACCTGGAGCCCTCTCTGCTCCCCACAGCCGGCTCCAGCTCCTCTCGGATAGGGGGGTGGGGGAGGGAGGGAGGTGGGAAGGAACACATGTTTTTGGATCCATATGTTAGTTTGTTTGGTCAGGACACGTGGTGGCTTTGTGTCAAAATTATTTTCATTACCCCTCCAACACCTGACACGATTGTCACGTTCACAAACTATATTGACCTCGCGAGCCTCCGAATGTGAGCCACCAGGCTCTGAAGCGCAAGGCGCCTGGTCGGGTAGAATAATCGAGCGTCAACATCGCAATGAAGTCGCTGGCCGTGTCTGGCTCGCGAGTCTCGGGGTCCCCGCCTTTAGAGTACCACTCGAGTAGAGCGTGCGATGACCACCGAGTAGCACTACAGACTGGAGCACACGGACTCGCTGCAGAGTGCGGTGAACACCCACGTCGTCTGCACGCTGCGCCACTGGACTGAACCTCATCGGCAAAGAGCCTCTTGGGAACGCACCACGACTCTCTGTGGGTTGCCAAATCTCATCGGGACAGACCGAGGCATCTTTAGGATTCTCGTGATTGTTTTTCTTCCAGTAAAGTCCGAGTCTCAGAGGGGCGGCGTCGAGACCAGAGTGCAGCAGTACATCTAAATATATCCGTATGGTAAAATAATATAAAATTTGCTAAGGGGTCCTGGGGGTTCCTTGTTGGAGGGAGATGAGGATTCAGGGGAGGATGGTGGGGGTGGGGTGCCCCCCTTGCCCCCACCCCTGCCCTGGCCCCACGGCGCTGCTGTCAGGATGGAGGGGAGAGGGACGCGAAGAAGCGAAGCTGCTGTAGCGACAGCGGCCTCCAGGCGCCAACCCCTGTCCCGCCGCGTCTCATGTCTACGCGTCTCTTCCTTCCGTGGCCTCTGTGTCTCGGTGTGTCCTGTCTCTGTGTTTCATATCTCCGTGTCCCCTTGTCTCTGTGTTTTCCTCTCTCTTTCTGTCTCCAGTGTCTCCCTGTCTCCTCCCCCTCCGTGTCCCATGTCTCCGTACCTCCACTTTTCATCCGTGTCTCACCCATCCCATTCAGTCAACCCACAGCACCTGGGCACGTCCCTTTGAACTCCTCGCGAGACTTTGACTCTTCACGGGGCATGGACGTGCACCTAGCCTGGCATCAGCGCTGTGGTGGCGTCACCGTCACTGGCGACTGTTGTTGTTATCTATATGTGCGCATGGGGCTGCGCGTGCATGTGCACACCAGTGACGACTATCTGCACCGATTCTGGACCTACCCGAAGTCGACTGGGCCTCAAATGAGTACCCGGTGCGATGTGTAAACGTCGCCACTGGGGAGACAAAGGCGGCCGGGCGCGCTGCTGGTCACACCACCACCTCGTGTGCTCTGGTGGCTTTCATAAGTCCTCGCTAACAGCACTTGCCCCTCCAGTCTGTTGAAGGCTACGCGGGGTATCTTTGTCTTTTTGTGCGCGTGTTTGCTGTGCACTTACGACTCCAATCACTCGCACTTGAGTGCGACCACTCGTGATTTGCCGGGGGGCAATTAGGAGGTAAGTGGGGGGGGGGGCTTTAGGTGACCCCCCCCCCACAACATTGCTTTATATATGAAATGTAAAGAAACAAAGAGACACTCCACTATTTAGCCTTGTAGACCGTAGAGCCGCTTACCGCTGTTAGCGAGCACCTATCAAGGATGCGCTGCGGGGTTTGTCGTGATGTTGTTTACCCAGCCGAGACGTGAAGATGTTGACACCACACCCCACTTCCACGTTGACAGCCACGTGCTACACACATGACCACCCTCTGCTGTCAGGGCGGGGATCTAACCCCGGCGGGCAGCCTTGCAGGCCGCGGCGCTGAGATGACCACTGCACCGCTGCCTACCCCCCCGCCCGAACCCGTTACCCCTTCCCCCGCTCCCCCCAGATAATCATGCACGTGGAAATAATGAATCAAATACGAGTCCTCCAATGCGCGTTAATTAGTCTTGACGCTCGCTCGCCGAGGGGCAGCGGTCATCGCATCTCATTTCCGGGCCGAGAGCACGCTCCAACTTCTGTGGGGTTCATTGGGGGGGGGCAGAGGGGGGCAGGGGGGGCTGTCTCCCGCCCCCCCCCTATCCCAGTGGGGGGAGGGGGGGTGCTCTCTCAGCGATGTGGAGATGACCCTGGGGAGATCTGCTGGACTGGTTGTTGAAGAGGAGGAGATTGAGTAGGGGCAGGAGGGGGGAGATGCTGATGGAATTGGGGTGTACAGCCCCCCCCCCCGGCTAACAATGTCTCCGTCTCTGCCCCTCGGGGCGTTGCTTTGTTCGGATGACAAAAGGGGTAATAATTAAATAAACACGCGAGGCTTCGTTCGGACGCGGTTTAAGTGCGCCTTGTTATACAAGTGAATGTGTCCGCTACGGCGGATACAGACCACGGGAGATGTTGCGCAGAGGGGAAGAATCGGGGTGGGGGGGGGCAGCAGCCTGTACGTTTGTGGGCTCGTGTTCAAATCCCTGCTCAGACTCGACTCAGCCACACCGACATCACCATCGTCATTGAACGTCTCACTGAGTCTCAGCACCTCATCCTCCAGGAGGCTCCTGTCTACACTGCGATGTTTGGCCAATTCTCTTCATATTTGACTCAGGAACGCATGCGTGCTTGGTACGACGTGTCAACATAACCGCGGGAGAGACAAAGGCGGCCGGGCGTGGCGCTAACCGCATCGTTGCCTCGTGTGTCGTGTTGACCTTCGTTATGTGCTCGCTAACAGCCCTTGCCCCAACAGTTGGTGTAGGCTATAGGGGGGGGAGCTTTGTCTTTGTGACCACGTGTGGTCCGCTCTCCCCCGCAGGGGACAGGGCGCGGAGGAGGCCGAGTGGAACTTCCTGCGGAGGGCCGCGGGGCTCAGCACCTACGGCGTGGACCCGCACCCGTGCAAAGTGAGCAGGCTGGTATCCAGCAGTGGAGAGACCACGGCCGATTACAGTGACGGTGGTTCCAACGGGGCGATTCTACACAACCCGTTCTGTTTTCAGGCAAATCAGAGCTCTTCCGCGTCGCATGGGACGTGCTTAGCAATCATCAGGCGCGTGTGGCGCGTAACGACTGATGGGAACTGGGTGCAGTTTCAGGTGAACCGAGCACGGGTTCAAGTTTCAAGGTGATTTTTTTGAACCGGGAGAGAACTTCAAGAGACCAGCATCCGAGTCTCGTTTTGGTCACCGAAATGTCAAAAGCAGAAAAAATATCGTGCAGCAATGAAGCGATTAGAAGTCAGCTCAAAAAGCAGCCGTGTCACACGAGAAATAAAAAATACAGTATTGCACAAACGTATATCAATGTAACGTATAATCCCTGTCGCACATATCGGCCCGAGCGGTTTATTCTTTGCCTGATCATAGCTACATCTATAATGAAGTTACATAAACATGAAACACAAAGAGTGCAATCATGCAAATGTATGAACACATTATTTGGTGGCGCTGCTTCATGCGGAAACAACTCAACACGCTCGTCAACAGGCGACGTTTCGGGCAGTGTCCCCTCTTCAGAGCCCACGTGCCTCTATGTAGACGGGTGTCCCTCCTCGGCGCGTGCGCAGGACGAGTCCGGGGAGCGGGTCTTCCTCGCCTTCACTCCCGCGGGGTTCGTCGTCTTCCAGGGCGGGAAGAGAGTCGTCCTCCTACCCTGGTCAGCGACTCTCCTCTTGAAGTCGACCTTGATAACTGTCCACCTCGACTCCTCTTCATCCTCTCAATACGTCATCATCATCATCATCACCATTATCGTAGCCATCACTCTTCCTCATCACGATCCTTCCTTCACCCGCGTCGTCACCATATCTCCTCATCGTCATAAGCACATTGTATCCTCCCCATCACCACCATCATTCCTCCTCCACTCCATCAACACCATCCTTGCTCCTCCACACCATCAACACCATCCTTCCTCCTCCACACCATCAACACCACCCTTCCTCCTCCACATCATCAACACCATCCTTCCTCCTCCACACCATCAACACCATCCTTCCTCCTCCACATCATCAACACCATCCTTGCTCCTCCACACCATCAACACCATCCTTCCTCCTCCACACCATCAACACCATCCTTCCTCCTCCACACCATCAACACCACCCTTCCTCCTCCACATCATCAACACCATCCTTCCTCCTCCACACCATCAACACCATCCTTCCTCCTCCACATCATCAACACCATCCTTCCTCCTCCACACCATCAACACCATCCTTGCTCCTCCACACCATCAACACCATCCTTCCTCCTCCACATCATCAACACCACCCTTCCTCCTCCACACCATCAACACCATCCTTCCTCCTCCACACCATCAACACCACCCTTCCTCCTCCACACCATCAACACCATCCTTCCTCCTCCACATCATCAACACCACCCTTCCTCCTCCACACCATCAACACCACCCTTCCTCCTCCACACCATCAACATCACCCTTCCTCCTCCACACCATCAACATCATCCTTGATGCTCCACACCATCAACACCATCCTTCCTCCTCCACATCATCAACACCATCCTTCCTCCTCCACATCATCAACACCATCCTTCCTCCTCCACACCATCAACATCACCCTTCCTCCTCCACACCATCAACACCATCCTTCCTCCTCCACATCATCACCACCACCCTTCCTCTCTCCACACCATCAACACCATCCTTCCTCCTCCACACCATCAACATCACCCTTCCTCCTCCACATCATCAACACCATCCTTCCTCCTCCACATCATCACCACCACCCTTCCTCCTCCACACCATCAACACCATCCTTCCTCCTCCACACCATCAACACCACCCTTCCTCCTCCACGTCATCAACACCATCCTTGCTCCTCCACATCATCAACACCATCCTTCCTCCTCCACACCATCAACATCACCCTTCCTCCTCCACACCATCAACACCATCCTTCCTCCTCCACACCATCAACACCATCCTTCCTCCTCCACACCATCAACATCACCCTTCCTCCTCCACACCATCAACATCACCCTTCCTCCTCCACATCATCAACACCATCCTTCCTCCTCCACACCATCAACACCATCCTTCCTCCTCCACATCATCAACACCATCCTTCCTCCTCCACACCATCAACATCATCCTTGATGCTCCACATCATCAACACCATCCTTGCTCCTCCACATCATCAACACCATCCTTCCTCCTCCACACCATCAACACCATCCTTCCTCCTCTACATCATCAACACCACCCTTCCTCCTCCACACCATCAACACCATCCTTCCTCCTCCACATCATCAACACCACCCTTCCTCCTCCACATCATCAACACCATCCTTCCTCCTCCACATCATCAACACCACCCTTCCTCCTCCACATCATCAACACCATCCTTCCTCCTCCACACCATCAACACCATCCTTCCTCCTCCACATCATCAACACCACCCTTCCTCCTCCACACCATCAACACCATCCTTCCTCCTCCACATCATCACTACCACCCTTCCTCCTCCACACCATCAACACCATCCTTCCTCCTCCACACCATCAACACCACCCTTCCTCCTCCACATCATCAACACCATCCTTCCTCCTCCACACCATCAACATCACCCTTCCTCCTCCACACCATCAACACCATCCTTCCTCCTCCACACCATCAACACCATCCTTCCTCCTCCACACCATCAACATCACCCTTCCTCCTCCACACCATCAACATCACCCTTCCTCCTCCACATCATCAACACCATCCTTCCTCCTCCACACCATCAACACCATCCTTCCTCCTCCACATCATCAACACCATCCTTCCTCCTCCACACCATCAACATCATCCTTGATGCTCCACACCATCAACACCATCCTTGCTCCGCCACATCATCAACACCATCCTTCCTCCTCCACATCATCAACACCATCCTTCCTCCTCCACACCATCAACATCATCCTTGATGCTCCACATCATCAACACCATCCTTGCTCCTCCACACCATCAACACCATCCTTCCTCCTCCACATCCATCAACACCATCCTTCCTCCTCCACATCCATCAACACCATCCTTCCTCCTCCACATCATCAACACCATCCTTGCTCCTCCACATCATCAACACCACCCTTCCTCCTCCACACCATCAACATCATCCTTCCTCCTCCACTCCATCAACACCATCCTTCCTCTCCACACCATCAACACCATCCTTCCTCCTCCACACCATCAACACCATCCTTCCTCCTCCACATCATCAACACCATCCTTCCTCCTCCACTCCATCAACACCATCCTTCCTCCTTCCACACCATCAACACCATCCTTCCTCCTCCACTCCATCAACACCATCCTTCCTCTTCCACACCATCAACACCATCCTTCCTCCTCCACACCATCAACACCATCCTTCCTCCTCCACACCATCAACACCATCCTTCCTCCTCCACACCATCAACACCATCCTTCCTCCTCCACACCATCAACACCATCCTTCCTCCTCCACACCATCAACACCATCCTTCCTCCTCCACACCATCAACACCATCCTTCCTCCTCCACATCATCAACACCATCCTTCCTCCTCCACACCATCAACACCATCCTTCCTCCTCCACTCCATCAACACCATCCTTCCTCTTCCACACCATCAACACCATCCTTCCTCCTCCACACCATCAACACCATCCTTCCTCCTCCACTCCATCAACACCATCCTTCCTCCTCCACACCATCAACACCATCCTTCCTCCTCCACATCATCAACACCATCCTTCCTCTTCCACTTCATCAACACCATCCTTGCTCCTCCACACCATCAACACCATCCTTCCTCCTCCACACCATCAACACCATCCTTCCTCCTCCACACCATCAACACCATCCTTCCTCCTCCACACCATCAAACAACCATCCTTGCTCCTCCACACCATCAACACCATCCTTCCTCCTCCACACCATCAACACCATCCTCTCCTCCTCCACACCATCAACACCACCCTTCCTCCTCCACACCATCAACACCATCCTTCCTCCTCCACACCATCAACACCACCCTTCCTCCTCCACACCATCAACACCACCCTTCCTCCTCCACACCATCAACACCACCCTTCCTCCTCCACACCATCAACACCACCCTTCCTCCTCCACACATCAACACCATCCTTCCTCCTCCACACCATCAACACCACCCTTGCCTCCTCCACACATCAACACCATCCTTGCTCCTCCACACCATCAACACCATCCTTGCTCCTCCACACCATCAACACCATCCTTGCTCCTCCACACCATCAACACCATCCTTGCTCCTCCACACCATCAACACCATCCTTGCTCCTCCACACCATCAACACCATCCTTGCTCCTCCACACCATCAACACCATCCTTGCTCCTCCACACCATCAACACCATCCTTGCTCCTCCACACCATCAACACCATCCTTGCTCCTCCACACCATCAACACCATCCTTGCTCCTCCACATCATCAACACCATCCTTGCTCCTCCACATCATCAACACCATCCTTCCTCCTCCACATCATCAACACCATCCTTGCTCCTCCACACCATCAACACCATCCTTGCTCCTCCACACCATCAACACCATCCTTGCTCCTCCACACCATCAACACCATCCTTGCTCCTCCACACCATCAACACCATCCTTGCTCCTCCACACCATCAACACCATCCTTGCTCCTCCACACCATCAACACCATCCTTGCTCCTCCACACCATCAACACCATCCTTGCTCCTCCACACCATCAACACCATCCTTGTTCCTCCACACCATCAACACCATCCTTGCTCCTCCACACCATCAACACCATCCTTGCTCCTCCACACCATCAACACCATCCTTGCTCCTCCACACCATCAACACCATCCTTGCTCCTCCACACCATCAACACCATCCTTCCTCCTCCACATCATCAACACCATCCTTGCTCCTCCACATCATCAACACCATCCTTCCTCCTCCACATCATCAACACCATCCTTGCTCCTCCACACCATCAACACCATCCTTCCTCCTCCACACCATCAACACCATCCTTGCTCCTCCACACCATCAACACCATCCTTGCTCCTCCACACCATCAACACCATCCTTGCTCCTCCACACCATCAACTACATCCTTCCTCCTCCACACCATCAACACCATCCTTGCTCCTCCACACCATCAACACCATCCTTGCTCCTCCACACCATCAACACCATCCTTGCTCCTCCACACCATCAACACCATCCTTGCTCCTCCACACCATCAACACCACCCTTCCTCCTCCACACCATCAACACCATCCTTCCTCCTCCACACCATCAACACCATCCTTGCTCCTCCACACCATCAACACCATCCTTGCTCCTCCACACCATCAACACCACCCTTGCTCCTCCACACCATCAACACCATCCTTCCTCCTCCACGCCATCAACACCATCCTTCCTCCTCCACACCATCAACACCATCCTTCCTCCTCCACTCCATCAACACCATCCTTCCTCCTCCACACCATCAACACCATCCTTGCTCCTCCACACCATCAACACCATCCTTGCTCCTCCACATCATCAACACCATCCTTCCTCCTCCACACCATCAACACCATCCTTGCTCCTCCACATCATCAACACCATCCTTCCTCCTCCACACCATCAACACCATCCTTCCTCCACACCATCAACACCATCCTTGCTCCTCCTCCGCCTCATCGTCAGCATCATCACAAACCCTCCTTCTCCACCCGGCGCTTCTGTGGCTGGTGTCGCGCCGAGACTGATGTCTCCTCTGCTCCTGTGCTCCCCTCGCAGGGCGGACGTGCTGAAGTTTCGAGTGGAGGAGTGGAGACTCTCGGTGTACGGGATTCAGAAGGAGGTGAGTGAGTGTGTGTGTATATAAGTATCGTATCATAGGTGCTGGCTAGCAGCACTTGCCCCAACAGTTTGTCAAGGCTATACAGGGGGATCTTTGTCTTTGTGTGTAAGTGGTGAGCGATAGTGTAGCGGTGAGCACGTTGCGCTCCTAACTCAGGGACACGAGTTCGATTCCCGCTCACATCCAACATCAGTGACGAATATATGAACCGGTCTTTGGCCTCTCTTAGGTCGACTCGGACTTAAATGAGTACCTTTAGCATTTCACATGTGACAATCCCCGTTCTCTTGAATGAGATTCTGACTGGGTTCGTCTGCCATCTGGCGGCCATGCTTGGTATCGCTGCTAGGATCCCAAGAGAATGACGGATTTTTTGACTCCCGAGGTAGGAATGCCCCATAGACTCCCCATTCATATCAACGCGGATTCCTGCGAATCCCGTGCCAAGTCTCAGGACCAACAACACACTGGCGATTCCACGGTTCCAGGAATCGCTTAGGAATTCGCATCGTGATTCTTGAGAATGTGCTCAACGCTACATTGTTGAAGCAACCAGGTGAGAATTACAAAGACCAGGTTCTGTCTCATTTGTTTAAAAGAATGCTCTGGGTCACCACAATGGCAAAAGCAACAGTGTACCATCAAAGGTACTGTAATGAAGAAAATATAAATAAGAGTTAAAACAATCTCGTTACAGCAGAAATCGAAAAGAGTGCACCAACATAACGTACATTAAGACCCGCGGGTGAGATTCACGTTTCCAGTAGCAAAGGTTTTCTTCGACAAATTACTTTAAAAACACCAATTAAACTTAAGTTACAGAAATACACGTGTGTGTGTGTGTCTGTGTGCATATATGGGCGTCAATTAATAACACCTGGGCCTGTCCTGTGACCACCTGCCAGCAACGATCCATCAGCACTTCACGTGATATCGTCAAGGTGCACCTAGCTTGGCACAAGCGCCGTGGTGGCATCAACGAATCGCGGCTGCCTTTGCCTTTTGTTAATACGTGCACGTGCACAGTGTATGACGGAATGCGCTCTGAAGCCTGCGAACTGAGTTCGATTCCCAGGCCGGGCTACCGTCAGTGGCGAGTGTGCCCTGAAGCGTTGCGTGGGTGCGCGTTTGTGCCCGCGGCAGAAGAAAGTGCTGCTCGAGTACCAGGCGGAGACTCCGCAGGCGGCCGGGCACACGTGGCAGTGTGCGACTCACAGCCAGCGCTTCTACAGGTGAGGCTCACACAGGTGACAGTCACACAGGTGACAGTCACGCAGGTAAGACTCACAGGTGAGACTCACAGAGATGTCACACAACTGAGATTCATACAAGTGAAACTCCCACAGTGAGACTCACACAGGTGAGACTCACACAGGTGAGACTCACACAGGTGACACTCACACAGGTGACACTCACACAGGTGAGACTCACCCAGGTGACACTCACACAGGTGAAACTCACACAGGTGACACTCACACAGGTGAGACTCACACAGGTGAAACTCACACAGGTGACACTCACACAAGTGACACTCACACAGGTGAAACTCACACAGGTGACACTCACACAGGTGAGACTCTCACAGGTGACACTCACACAGGTGAGACTCACACAAGTGACACTCACACAGGTGAAACTCACACAGGTGAAACTCACACACGCCTGGCTCACACAGGTGAGACTCACACAGGTGACACTCACACAGGTGACACTCACACAGGTGAGACTCACACAGGTGACACTCACACAGGTGAAACTCACACAGGTGACACTCACACATGTGACACTCACACAGGTGAGACTCACACAGGTGACACTCACACAGGTGACACTCACACAGGTGAGACTCTCACAGGTGAAACTCACACAGGTGACACTCACACAGGTGACACTCACACAGGTGAGACTCACACAGGTGACACTCACACAGGTGAGACTCTCACAGGTGACACTCACACAGGTGAGACTCACACAGGTGACACTCACACAGGTGACACTCACACAGGTGAGACTCACACAGGTGACACTCACACAGGTGAGACTCACACAGGTGACACTCACACAGGTGATACTCACACAGGTGAGACTCTCACAGGTGACACTCACACAGGTGAGACTCTCACAGGTGACACTCACACAGGTGAGACTCTCACAGGTGACACTCACACAGGTGAGACTCACACAGGTGAGACTCACACAGGTGACACTCACACAGGTGAGACTCTCACAGGTGACACTCACACAGGTGACACTCACACAGGTGACACTCACACAGGTGAGACTCTCACAGGTGACACTCACACAGGTGAGACTCACACAGGTGACACTCACACAGGTGACACTCACACAGGTGAAACTCACACAGGTGAGACTCACACAGGTGACACTCACACAGGTGACACTCACACAGGTGACACTCACACAGGTGAGACTCACACAGGTGACACTCACACAGGTGAGACTCTCACAGGTGACACTCACACAGGTGAGACTCACACAGGTGACACTCACACAGGTGAGACTCACACAGGTGAGACTCACACAGGTGACACTCACACAGGTGACACTCACACAGGTGAGACTCATACAGGTGACACTCACACAGGTGACACTCACACAGGTGACACTCACACAGGTGAGACTCACACAGGTGAGACTCACACAGGTGACACTCACACAGGTGACACTCACACAGGTGACACTCACACAGGTGAAACTCACACAGGTGACACTCACACAGGTGAAACTCACACAGGTGAGACTCACACAGGTGACACTCACACAGGTGACACTCACACAGGTGAAACTCACACAGGCGTGGCTCACACAGGTGACACTCACACAGGTGACACTCACACAGGTGAGACTCACACAGGTGAAACTCACACAGGCGTGGCTCACACAGGCGTGGCTCACTATGAAAACCCCACTCGCTAATTGATTGACGTGCGCCCGTGCCGCGCAGGTACGAGGCCGCGAGGGAGATGACGTCGGGACGTCGACTTCTCTTCTTCTGGAAGAGCCGAGGACGCCACAGGTGAGTCCGCTACTGCTCCACGTCTCCGTGTTTCGACTTTCCTCCTCAACAAGGAGACCTGAGCAAGTGGTGACAATTACAGATTTCTATGGCGAACTCCAAGATGATACATAGAGCTGAGATACTGCATTGGAGTCAAATATCACATTGTCTCGCTGCTCGCAGAAGCACGGCAATAGTACATCACTTGGTGCTGTTGTTGGAAATTCCACATTACTATGCCAGGGACCAGTCGTTCAGATACAACCATCAAGTTTATTTTGTTTCACCGGGTAAAAATTCATGAGTTCAGGATGAGTCTCATTTGCAAAACCGATCTGCGTCACCAAAACTGACAAAAGCGAAACAAATCAAGTTACAGCGATGATGGTGAATAGAAATCGGCGCAAAAACAAACCCGCGTCGTCACGTGGGTGATCGATAAACTTTCACAAACAAAAAACAACGTTAACCAATACATTACCAGCAGCGTAAGTCGTCTGAGCGAGTTTAGTCTGAGCACAACTACAACGTCAAGTTACGGAAACGTGAAACGGATGTAGGATGACCATTGCCCTGCAGTGCAAACGGACGGTCGCCGTTGCCGTTGCAGGGCCGGCATGGACGGCAGTCAGAGCTGCCAGGCCTTCCCACGCCCGGGGCGCCCCGAGGCACCGCCTCCGGTGCCCAACAGCGTCTCCCTGCAGAGCGCCCTGCACCTGGGCGCCCTGCGGCTGCGGCCTGCGGCGTCCGCCGATGGCCTCGACCCCAGCGACGCGGCCGACGCCGGCGACACCGACGACACGGACGACACCGACATGAGCGGTCCAGCTGGTGCCACCCATACGGCCGGTGCCACCGAGGCCACCGACGCCGCTGGCACGGCTGAGCGTGGTGACGCCGACGCGAGCGTCATCGGCGTGGCCAGCTCCACCGACACCGACGTCCTGATCAGGTGTCCAGCACTCTTGTTTACCGTTCTTGTCGTTGTTGTCGTTGTTGTCGACCTCTTATTTTACACCCTCCCGTGTCACGTAAACATATGTGTCCGCTGTCCACCCTCGGTCCGGTATTGTTCCATTCAGCGTCCACCTGTGTCATGCGTCCACCCACGTTTCGCGTCCGCCCTGGTATTTTGTTCACCCTCCTTTGTTAGCAAGCTGCCCATCCTCGTTCAGCACCCACCCGGGTTCCATCTCCCCCCGGGATTAGCTTCCACCGGTGTTGATCGTCCACCGGTGTTGATCGTCCACCCATCGCGCTGACAGCCCCGCCACCTGCTGTGACCCCGCGCGACCTCCCGGGGAGAGGGGGGGGGGTCCCCTCTCTGCTGCTGCTCGACAAGGGAGGGCAGCTCGGCGCTTCGCCCTCGTGGCTTGTGTTACTCGCGGCGCCGCCGCCGCCGCTGCGCCACCGACTCGGAGTTCAGGTCGCTAATCCGCGAGCGACATTTGACGTCTCGTTTCGTCTTTGTGGTGCCGGTGTTGGCTGAAAGAAAGTTTTCAACGGTTTATTTTAACATTCAAAAAACATTCTGCTGAAATCCATTGCCAAGTGTTTGCCAATCTGGCAGTTTCCTACGGCGAAAATTGTGAGAAAACAGGTTTACATCGTGGTGCCGTTCGTGTTTGAGGTGGTGGTGGCGGTGGTGGTCAAGAGAGTGGTGGTAGAAAGTTGTCTTCAACACATTCCCTGAGCGTGACCCTTGAACCAATAAGCACGGGGAAGCGGGCAACGTGGGGCAGCGCCACACCACGGCGGCGTGACGATAGCCTCCTTGAAGAGAGGCCAGGAACCTGAGATTTATAACCGATATTTAGAGCTGCGATTTGTAACACAGATGAAAGGAGGGGGGGGGGGGCGGTTTCAAAGTGCGACTCTGTATCACTCAGCGACGCGGCTCATTCCTTGTCGCTGGGACACCGCCAACCGCGCTACGCCACTGCGAGCGTGGATGAGTGACACTCATCGTCGATCCGCCATGATCAGTGCAGCATCAATAACCTGAAGTATCATCAGGTAGAGAGGTGTCCAGTCCAACACGGTGGCTCCCCGCGGAGGTCCCCGCTGGGGGAAGGAACCCCAGCGGGGTAGAGGGGCTGCGGGGGTAAGGGGGCCGTGTACCCTCCCCATGGCCCATGGGGACAGTGCGCGCTCGTAGCGCCGCTATTTGCATGCGGCGCGCTATTTATGGCCGAGCGGCGATGCCTGGCAGATTCCGCGCCGCCGTCGGCCAACCAATCCCTTCCAGCGGCGGCATTTGTCTCCCAAGCCCGACCCTGCTGATGGGACCCCGAGGGTCGAAACCCGCGCCGTGTAATGCTCCCTTAAGCACACGCGGTCGTGGTCGGATTGGTCCGGAAAGCCCGCAGGCCGACGGACTCGAACCAGAGTTGTTGTACTTATAGTCGTGGTGGGATGGGGGGGGAGGGGGGACACTCTCTGCTGGTATTCGCTCTTGGAGCGGAAAGTCGACTTGGTTCTGTGTCACCAGGTGGGGGACTCGAGACAGCCAAGGATGAGTCTCGTTTGTAAGAGTGACCCGGGCATTAGTCTGCCAGTAGGAATGGGGTGGGCGGCGATAATTTGGCCTACTCTTTCACACTGGTAAGACGTCTTAGAAGAATACCCACATTTTACCCCACCACCACCACATGCGACCTACCTCCCGATCGAATTTGCCTGTGGTGTAGCCATGTATACTGTCGGGTGGACAGAGAATAGAGCGGTGTGTGGGGGGGGGGATTTTTTTTTAATGCCAATTATTTCAACTGCCGATGCGAGAGATCGGACCGAATCAGCAACCGCTCTCTCTCTCTCTCGACTGGACAGACGTTCTTCTAAAGTCGCCGAGAATGGCGTTGGACAATTGAGCCACGTGTTTATGAATCGTGAGTAAACCGACGTGAGAGCTCCTCCAATGGATGCGAGGCATGGGCGCGAAATCTGCAGAGACTCGCCAGGTTTGCCACTCACTTCGTCAAAAATGCGTCGCCAGACTCAGAGATGAAACTCGCTCACTTGCCAACACCCGCACGGCGGGGTTTGGCGGTGGTGGCGGTGATGGTAAAACGAGGAGGAGGAGGGGGGTGTTGGAGAAAGAAGAGCCGGTGACGGCGAGGGGGGTAGGGCGCGGTGTGGGGGGCTGCGTGGGAGAGGGGAGTGGAGGCGTGCGCAGTTGTCCTCTCGCTCGGACAATTCGTCAACTCTCAGCCGGGGTTCGGGCCAGTGAGGGGGTACACGCGGAGGGGATACGAGTCAAGGTGACACGAGGAAAGGGGATACGAGTCGAGGGAATACGAGGCAATCGGAGACGAGGCGAGGGGACACGCAGTGACGTGTGTACCCCCTGACTTCCACACCCCCGTCTCTCCTCGGAGTCCCCGATCGGCTCCCGTTTGGCACCAGAATCTCGGGGCTCCAATGCAGCTCCCCGGACCCGGCTCGTCGTCACCATCAGCTCGGCTTCTGTCGTAAAACAACAACAACAACAGCAGCAGCAGCAACAACAACAACAGCAGCAGCGACCATGGTGAAGTGCCTGGTGAAAATCCGCACCAAGGTCAATGTCCATCTGCGCATGGTCAACCACTGTTACCGGGACGTTCGGGTTCGAGTCCTGAGCCTGGGACCCCGCATCCTGCGTCGTGCCATAGGTGGCATGCCCTTCCTGCCGGCGCTGATGTACGGCCCCCCCAGTGACAGCCCGGGCGCGGCCCTCAATCCGAACAGCCCCGTGGCCGGCACCCGCAGCGGCGCCTCCAGGGTTCACGAGGTTCCCGTCGAATTTGACGACGGCGACGACGACCACGCCGACGACGACTGCGGCGGTTACGGTGGCGTGGATCGCGCTGGTGTTGGGGAAGACGAGGACCTGGTGTTGGTTGCGAGGAGAGGGGATCCCACGGCGCGTGACGATGCTGGGTTGACCGTAAGGGGTGTCCCAGGCGAGGGAGTTCTGCGCGCACCTGTGCGCAGGTGTTCAGGTGAGGGCGTTTGGCGACTAACACGGCTAACGCTCTCTGTGTGTGTGCGTGTTTGAGGATTTCTGCGTCGGCCAGTCATCTCAGTCAGTCGACCCGTGGAACCTGGGTCTGCCCCGTGACCTCCTGCCGTCGAGCGTTCGACACTTCACGTGGCCTCAACGTGCACATAGCCTGGCACAAGCGCCGTGGTGACGTCACCGCCACTTAGTGGTGAATGGCGATTGTTGTTGTTGAGGAATTTGTCTACCGCGATCCGGGATTAGGCCGCTCCGCTCATCATGGGGGAGTGGCGAGTTCAAGTATCGGTCGGAAGGTCACATCGATATCAGGTTGATGATGTGAGCTGTCATGAACGCCTACATGTTAATGTCTCGTTCAATCAACTACATTTTTTTCATCATCCAGGTTCAATGATCATCGCCTCTCCAGGGATATCGTCTCTGCGGAATCGTTATCATCACCATCATCATCATTATAATCTGCTTCCCGTAATTAACTCTCCAAGGTCATCATCTTCATCATGTCTCCAGGGTCGATATAATCATGGACTGGTCCACGCCATACGAATGTGGAATTTCCACCACTGTCTTAGGTCCCCCAATAGACATGGGCACAGTCACACGCTTTGTTGAGCACGTAGACACCTTAACTTAACTTTGAAGGGACGGTCCAAGCGTGGTTGTACAGTACTATTTAAAGACTGACCCCTCGCCATAGGAATGTGGAATTTCCACCACTGGCTCAGGACCACCGACGGGATTGGTTTCCGTCCAGCGCGTTTACGAGCCCCGAGGCACTTTGACACCGACCTGAAATAGACGCGGGCGCAACGCCGCTCTGCACGCTGCGGCGCGCGGGCGCATTGTGTCGTGCGCGCGAGAGTGCCAGGCCACACCGACTCGCGACAATCTCCACCACGTCCACCCTCACGAGGCGTCCACCCTCACGAGGCGTGACACTGTTCGCGTCACACTACATCCCCGCACGCCCGGACAACCTAATCTCACCAATTAAGGGGGCGCGCGCGCTGGGCCCGGCTCGCTCATCCGTTGGCGAAGGCACTAAAATAGAGCCACGCACGCACGCGCACATGCTCGCGCGCATTCATACGTAACAACGACAAAGATCCCCCGTGTAGCCTACACAGGCTGTTGGGCCAAGTGCCCTTAGCGAGAACGGCACACGAGTGGGTGGGTGGGTGGCCAGCACCACACGCGTGGAATTTCACACGCTACCACGTACGTAGCCGTACGTATGTATGTTGGACTTTTTTCCCACCGTACGGAGCCGACCGCGCTAATCGGAGGTGCATCCATAGACACATACACACGCGAATAAACACACACACGCACACGCGAATAAACACACACACGCACACGCGAATAAATACGCACACTCTCGTTACTTGAAGTCGGGTGCACTGAAGTAATTAAAGCCCGAGAACGGATTTAAGTCGTGGGGAAATTAATTTTCCACTGCCCTAATCCCCGACTTAATGCGTTATGGCAACGGAGTCTTTGAGCTGTGGTCCACGGAGCTGAGATCTGTTTGGGTTCCGTAGAGATGAGCATTGTGCGGGGGGGGGCGGAATTTGCCTTAGGGTTGAGGGGGGCAGCGTATCATCCCATAATAAGAATGGTGTCATGACATTTTTTTGGGTGAGATCACGTGAGTGAAATGTGTGTCATGCACCCTCTTCCACCCGACATCACCACTTAGTAAAGTCGTCACGTGATGAACAAACATGGCAGAAACGTGTCGCTGTTCCAGCAGCACCGCCGGTGTGATGTTGGAGAGAAAGATCACAACTGTCAGTAATCGGGTACGACGTTTCGCTGATAGTTACAAAAGGATAATCAGGTATTTCTCAAAATGCTATTTTCGCGATATGACCCAAAACAATCAATTATGACGCCACAACGCAGGTCGCGAAATCACCCAACAACGTGGTTTTAAAGAACGATGTCCTCAAGGACTTGTTTCTGTAGGGTCCGTGCCGTGCCATGGAGTTTGTAAACATTCCTCGTGCTTTTTCTGCATTGTGGGAGCAAGTCAGGAATACCCCCGGGGGAAACCCCGACACGCGTGCGGAGATCACGCGACGCAATTCGGCACAAGCGTGGGAATGAGCGGTATCTGAGGAAGCCGAGAAGAAGACGACAAGACGGGGGGCGCCAATGCGCAAGTATCCATGGGGGGCCCTGGATGCTGTTATCTGATGGGGCACAGCACGTGGCGGGCCACTTGGCCCAGCGGTGTAATGAAGCCGAGCGCCCTTCAGCCGCTAGCGGCCACGTGGTGCGGTGGTAATCGCCGCCAGAAAAAGACCCCGGGGTCCTCAGAGAGGAGACACGGGACTCCGCGTGCACGCTCGAGGTGACGACAGCGTGACGATGCCGGTGGTGGTGATCTGTTGTGGTGATGATGCTGATACGATAACTACCACGCCACCGCTACCCACTAGCCTATATCTGTATTGTATGCTGAACTTCTTTCGCACCGTACGTAGTCAACCGTGAAAATCGGTGGCGATATGTTAACTACCTCGCTTGGTATACAGGAGGTCGTCGGTTCGATCCCGACCCTGATGCCTGCTGTATATTTGGAGTTTGCATGTTTGTCCGAGTCCTCCGGTCAACATCACGCGTTTAGAGTATTTGGCTGCTATAAATTCCCACCCGATAAGCCACTTCGTTGAGCTATTATTTGTGACCAAGTCGCTTCTAAATAAGAGAGCTACATAGCTCAGTGGGACTTACCTGGTTAACATACAAAATAATGTGTTTTAGTTGTATACACGCGCAGATATACAGTACACACATGCAACTCGGTGGAATCTAATTGTCACTCACGTCCTGCCCATGGGGATGCCAACAAATAATCACGCAGCATGTCACGGCGTGTCACGGCGTGTCACATGTCTCAGCACTCAACCGACAGAAGGACACTGCCGACATCAGCGCTGCTGCGATGTGGCCGTGTGGCTCACGAGCCAGAGCGCTGAGATCCTGGGCGCCACTCCGGAGGGGTTGAGACCGCCTGCGATGAGCCCCCCGGTCTCTCAGGCGCAGCGAGTCGATGGTCTCTGCGCCGTGTCGCCAGCGACTGCACGAAACCCCTCTTCACATTCAATTCATTTGACAACATTCAAACCCTGAGCATCTGAGAATGAAAACGATCAGTTTCACTGCAGCCCCATTCATGTGTGGACAGAGATCACTTCAAGGCACTGCAGGGGTAGAGTCTGTGAATTGCGTGTGCGTCTCATTGGAATCACTTTGGATTTTTTTGTTTTTAATATCGTTAATGAATATAACGACGGTGTCAATTAACAGAGAGGAGCCCTCGCGGGAGTGAGGACGGAGAGGCGGCGGTGGTGGCTGGGCCATCGCGGCGCACGGCCGGGCCACCTCGCATCTCCGGCTCAAACGCGAGAGCCGACGGCGGCGGGGACCCACTCCGACCCCTGCCGCTCTTCCCCACAAAGACCCCTGGACGAGCCCCCGGTCTGCACGGAGAGCCCAACAGCAGCAGCAGCGGCGGCGGCGGCACCAAGCGCAGCTCGTTAGCGCACCACTCGCGGGACGCGGCGCCTCTCATCACGAACGGTGGCTCCGACGGTGGAGCGCTCATAGTCGCCTCCATCGCCCCGTGCGCGCCGCGTCTTGTGGGTGGCGATGCAACCGAGGGTGGAGTCGAGGGTGGAGGGCAACGCGAATTTAAAGGCGCGGCGGAGGACGAGTGCTCGCGTCGCCGCGATGGGGACGAGCGGGGACGAGCGCGGGCGTCGTGGGCGCGAGCCGCGTGCTCCGCGCTCGGGGTGCTCGCCGCCGCCTCTCTACTCGCCGCCGCCAACCTCCTGCTCCTCGTGCTCCTGCTGGAGTCTCCAGCCGAGCTGGAGCCGCTCCGCTGGATGCGGGAGTCGCCCTTCTTCCTGCACTTCCACTACGGCTACTACTGCCCCGCGCGCCGCTGGCTCGCCTGCTCGGTCATGAGGGCGATGGGGGACGCGTGACGGCTCCGTGACTCCGCGCTCGCTTCGCCCGCTCGCTCCTCTCTCTCGCGCACACGCGCACAGACGCACCTTGCGGGGTGTGCGCGGGAGCTGGGTGCGTGGAGTGGGGACAGTGGACTGGGCACACCTAGGGAGGTGACTCCCCTGATGAGTCCCTGGGTGGCCGCATCGTTTTTGGTTTCCCGGACACGGACTCAAAGGCCACGGCGGAGAAGGAGAGCGGGGAGAAGGCGAGGGGCGAGGGATTGTGTGGAGTGCAGTTGTCGCGGGTGTGGTGGGTGAGCGGTGAGGCGGGTGAGTCGGGGGAGAGGTGAGCGAGCGAGCGAGTGAATGAGTGGGGTACGTGGAGGTGAGCGGAAGGATCGTTGGGGCGTTGATCGATTGTGGGGGGGGGGGTGGCGGTGCCGCGTGGGAGCGCGGGGACTGCCGCAGCCGTGCAGGGAAGAGGGGGGCTCGGGGCACGCGCCCGTGCTGCGCGTGAACGCGCGCGCGTGCGCGGGCATCACGTGGTAAAGCGTGGTTTATATTGAGTATAAACCTGTGTCCATTGAGGTGGTATTCAACTCACAACCAGGAGGTCACGGATTCACATCTCAATCGACTCGACTCAGTGCATCAGTTCCTGCTGAGTCGATAACAAAAACACGAGTACCGCTTTGTGGGAAGTCAACAGCCGTTGTTGTATGGACAAACTGCCCTCTGCCATAGCAACGTGGAAGTTTCACCGTGGGCTCGGAGCCCTCAGTGGTGATGAGTTCCGCATCAACGCTCGTTCGAGCAGGGAGACGGTTCTATTAATATACGTTGTAAATTATATACCCCAGAGCCAGTCCCAGCTACACAAATCCGTAATAATGATCCATCGCAGGTCTTCCATGCTTACCCGTCAGAACTGAGTACCGAGCCATCGTCTGACTGCGATTGTGCATTGTGGAAACCCCGTGGTGGATTGCTATCGTGCATATTCTGGATTCTAACAAAAATCCATATGAGTGTTGTTTTGTTTTTCCTCCACGCAATAGGTATTCCAAAACCTCCAATCCGCGCGCCGTTTTCTCCACCCTCAGCATGTCCGTGTTTTCCAGTCTCCACTTTCATCGTCCACTCGTACTCTTACAGTGGAGCAGTGGCGCAGCGATTAGCACCCTGCACTACGAAGCCGGCCACTCCGAGTTCAATACCCAGCCACTGATAACATCGTCGCTGTGTGAATCACGAACCGCTCCCGTGACCGGTCGCCCGCGCGTGCCACGCGACCGCTGGGCGAGGCGTCCCCGCGTGTCGCTGGCGATTCACGGGTTGCGCAATGATGTCGAGAGCGAGCGACCCGGTTGCGCAACCGATCGCTCAGGTGAGGAGCCTCCCCAAGTCATCGCCCAACACCACTCGCCGATTGGTAAACATGGAGCGTCTGAGCCATGGGGGTGTAGAGGAGGAGGAGGAGACGATTTTATTGGAGCCTTGCTCACACAGGTGCACGTGCCAGCCCTACAGGTGTGCATCGGCTATCGCGTGTAGTGTTAGTGTGACGGACTTGCCCGATGTTTCGTCGAGACGTGGCTGCATTTACTCTGTAGACGCCTCGTCAATGGTCCTCCTCGTGCTGCCAGTGTGACGGCGATCGTTCGTTCAGTGCAATGGCTTTATTCTTAAACGGATTTATACATTCAAATTGTTCTCGAAGTGAATGAATATAGGGAGCCAACGCAGCTTCATTGAGAGGTCATGCCGGCCAATGCGTTTTAATGTCACATCCTCGCCATCGCTGCCTTCCTTCTGCCAGATCCCAAACAATTGCTGCACAGTCGACATGTAACCTTCAAGGAGGAGTCATTGTTATACTCTCATCAGCAACACCTGGCTGTAGGTTTCCCCCTCGTTAAACAGTCAGCCCGTCCTGCCATTACGGCTGTTACAGTCTCATCATCATCGTCATCACCATCGTCTGGCTTGAGGTCTTCTCTTCCCCTTGCTGCAATACCTGTCTCAGTGACCCTTGCCCTCCACCACCCTGCACACGTGTCCTACCGATCACAACCTCCTCCAACTCGTCCTGATCACAGCTTCATACGTGCGTACAACGCTGCCCCCCCGAGATCTATCGATGCGATGCCCGCTGTACTTCAGCCCGTGTATAGAGACGCATCTCGGCGTGGTGTGTGGGGGAGGCTGTGGTTTATCGATGAGTCGGTTTGTTGTCTAATGCATGAGCAGCAGTGTACCTCGACCAGACCCCGTGCGTGCATTTGCCGGTCGCGATTCCCTTCGCCGCGTCACGATCGAGCCGGCCGGCGTGCGGCGTTTGTTGTTGTTGTTGGTGGTGGCGGTGCGGCGTTTGTTGCTGTTGTTGTTGGTGGTGGTGGCGGTGCGTGGGCGTGCGTCCTCTGGCAAAAGGAGAGCGCCCAAAGCCCCCGACAATGCACGTGTTGGTGGATGAGCAAATTTCCGGCCAGGGGAAAAGTTTCGTCGACACTTTCCTTGGTGTCATAATAATATATAATTACTTATCCGGGAGCGGTCCTGCTACATTGGGTTTTTGTTTTAAGATGTTATCAGCTGAATGACGATGTTTATTATTATACACGTGGGAGAAAACCGAATCACCTGGGGAGACCCCACGCGCACGAGGGGACAACGCTTTGACTGGCGCCGTGGTGCAGTGACGAGCCCACTGCACCACTTGCAGTTCACAGGTCACCAGCTCGATTCGTTCTCCAGGTGCGGCAGTTGCAACAACGGTGCAAGTATGAGTGGTGACACCACGGTCGGTGGATTTGGGGTAACGTGTGGGTAGTCCCATCGCTTCTAAGACGTCTGGCCAGCGTGGAAGAGTAGGTCAATAATACCCCCCAGAACTCCCTCTTGTGGAGATGCTTCTGCCAGCAATTGCAGGGCTGCGCCCTTACCTATTTACCTGTGCCATGAGGGTATCACTGATACAGCCACATGTGAACCTCGTTGGGGGTCGATGAAATGGGTCGATGGCGACTGATAATTATTTACGAGTTGATGAATAAAAATTATCCGTCTTCTGTGTTCCCAACCAACACGATGTGTTACCCAGGTGTGTGTGTGTTACCCAGGTTCGTGCGTGTGTGTTACCCAGGTGTGTGTGTTACTCAGCTGTGTGTGTTACCCAGGTGTGTGTGTTACCCAGGTGTGTGCGTGTCTGTGTGGAGAGGGCGGCACCTCTGGGAACGAGAGAGGAACACAGACAGGTGGCGTGCAACGATTTTTTGATTATTTGGTTGGAGTGTTTTTTTCTTCTGTGAAGAAAGGCCATTGCCAGAAACGTCGCCTATTATGCACGTTCGTTTCCTTTGACGGCTGTGCTGGTAGGTAGGTAACGTGGCAGGTAAATTGACCATGGCAACTGACCACGCGCTATATATGTGCTCTTGCACTCCTGCCAACGCAGTATCGCCAGACAATGTATTTAATAGCGGAACGCACCCTACCATTGTACACAAACAAGGACTTTGTAATCAGTTTATACTAGCTGTGCATGGGGTTGAGGGTCACGGTAAAGGCGATATGGTTCGTGCCGTTTGCCAGGTGGCTCCTAGTTCGGGGGTTGACTAAACCCAGCATCCCTCCGGGGTCGATAAAACCAGTACAAGGCTGTGAGTAAGTTCAGCAGTGGTTCTATATATATACACTCACCCGGGCCATAGGAAAGTGGTATTACCACCACCACTGACTTAGGGCTGTAAACGAGAGATGAGCAGCGCCAATTCAATGCTCACTTGAGCCGGAAATCACTCGGCCTGTTGGGGCGCTCGCGGGCTCCCGGTCGCGTGGTGGCCCGGGTCTGTCCGCCAGAGGGCGCCGCACGGCAACGCGAGACCCACACGGAGGGCGACACCACCGAGGAAGGCAGTGGTCCTCTGACTGCCTACGACACGAAGGGTTCTCGAAGGCGTTCCATTCCTGGGCTGCCGTTCTCTCATTGTTGTTCACCAGTCAGAGCCACCACTCAATTGAGTTCACAGTTTAGACGATGCAATTTCCCCGGGTACGCGCTCCCCCTCCCCCCTCAAAAAAAGAGTTGAAGTGATTTCCTGATTTCCTGCTCAGATGAGGATATTCAATCGGCGGAGCTCATCTGCTTACAGCCCAAAGCCAGTGGTGGAAATTCCACAATCCTACGGCGGAGGCGAGTCCATCTATCGGACAACCATTGTTGACTTCCCCACTCAGCAGAATTCAATGTATCTAACCTGGATGGGCTGAATCAACTCGCACGCAGGATTTGAACTCCGCAAACCTTTCCATTGCGAGCCGCGCACTCTGCCACTGCGCCATCCAAGCTGCATTGCGTTCTCTGTGCCACGTGTTAATGGCATGCGCGCTTCGAATGAAACATCACGTTAACCACCACAGCCCCCATCTCTCGCTGCCGATCCCCTCCACGCCTCGGGTGCAATGACCTGGAGGAAGACTCGAACTTGGCAAGCCCAGTCTGAGCGCTGGCAT